GGGGAGGTTGAAAGGATTCCTTCATTACACACCTTTAATGAAAGATTAAACCAGCCTCCGCCAGTAGTGACCCAGTAAATCCTCCTGTAAGGGCATTTTTCAGTGATCTCGGGTTTTCTGTAGTGTGCTGAAAACTACACCAAGCATGGGAGAGGAGTCAGAACAAATGTACTGGCTCCATAAGACATAATAGAATCATGAAAAGCTTTTGTGGTTCCTTAGTTACTGTGTATGGAAGACATCCTGAAAGCTTTGAATTCATGCTCGTGACCATTGAGCAGGATTTGCACTACGGCTTTGGTAGGAGCAGAGTGATTTCTTTGCAAATCATGTCAGCTGGAGAGGGAAAAGCTGACCTCTGTTTGTCTGTTTGATTGCTGCAGGAGGTACAAGCTTCAGAGGTTTACAGCATCCATAAAATGTCCACAAAGTACATGGTAGTACTTTGGAGTTTATCTAACAAGTTCTATGTTAATGTGTCTGATAAACACTCTGCAGCCTCTGTCAGCTTCAGGATTTTGAATTTCTGAGGGCAATTGTTTTACAGTTCAGACTGCACCTTTGGTACTGTTTCCCCAATGCTATTTTCTTCCATGAACTTCATCCCATTACTCAGTGTGGCTTGGTTCAAAGGTTACTTGAAGTAATTTATTTCCATCCTTGGTGTTAGCAGAAAAGTGAAGAATGATTACAAGTTTTGTTTCTTCCTTAGTTTTCAGTGCTAGTTAGAGAATAAATTTGTAACTTTGTATTTTCCCTCCAAAGATGAATCTACAGTAAATGTTCCCAAATTAGCTTCCTTGTGGTTTAGTAGTATGGCATTTTTGTACGTAGTAGCAAGGAGTGAAAACAATTAAATTGGTCAGTGGCTGGTATTGTATCATTTTAGGGCTAGAGAGTTTTTAAAAAAAATGTAGTGAATCTTCTTTCACTGGAGAAAAGGTAATTTAACCAGATCCTAGTAGTTAGTTGGGGGTCAACTGCAGCTGTGTCTGTCTGATAATATATTTAGTTTTCTTAATTCTTAAAGAATTCTCTATAGTAAAATGCATTATATTGTTTACTTTTTATTCTTTTGCATTGTTTGTTTTCATTATTTCTCAGCTGAAGGAAGGTAAATGGAGCTTTCTGCTGTGTTGGTACAGGTTAGTTGAACAGCCTTTTGCAGGGGCTAGCAGGAGGATTTTACTGGGTGTCAGCTGGTGCCTAATAAATATAAATGCAAAAGCAGCAGCCGGGTATTCAGGTACAGCGTTACGTGATGGGCGCTTTTTCTCTAAGTAAAAGCACAACGTCCCTTGCAACTAAAAAAACGTAAAAAATTTGCTAAGGTGATAAGATCATATGAGCTCAGCTATTTTCTTGATATTGTAACCCTTGCCCATTTTGAATGCTTTTTCATGCTCTCATTTTTTATAGCAGTACTCAGCTTAGATGCTGTTTATATCTTCTAAGCATATCCTGTTATAAAGAGAAGCTCGGTGTTCTGGAAGCTGATGGCTTTGGTCTTAAAGATCATTTCATGATTTATGACCACTATCATAATCTCTGGTCATAAGGATCACAGACTTTGTGAAGGCAGCTTCTCTGAAAACTAAAGCTTTGTATATGAAGTTTGGAAAAGAGCTGAAGTCCTACTACTTCTGAAAATGTTTGTGATTACAATTCACGTGTCTTAAAGCAGAGTGACAGCAATTCCTACGTAAGAGTAGTTTCTGCTTGTTTATGCACTGTACAACTACGTCAAAGCCAGCAAATAGAGCTTTCTCCTGATTTGGCATCTCATCACACAAGAAGTTCAACATCATAAAAATATTTGTTTCCCTTTGGTAGGGACATGCAGGTTTATTTTGAATGGCTAGGAGTTTCTTTGGTTACTTTTAGTCAGCTTTTGTATCAGAAAAAAAATATTTGCAATGATGGTAAAAAGGCTGCAACTGGTTCCTAGCAAATGTAGTGCTGTGAAATGCATTTTTCTTCTCAAAGGTTTTTCTGACAAATGTGTGTTTTCAGTTGGTCTTCTGAAATATCACCTATAACTTTTGATGTGCTAATGCAGAAGCATTTATACTGGCTAATTACAAGGAAGCTGTAGTTCTTGTGTCTGTGCTTAATAGTTCTAGTTAGAACTAGTTCTTTAGGCTTATGGAGCTATCCCTAGTATATTGCTAAAATGTAGGGTACAGAATTAATTTTCACTTTTTGTAGTGCTGTCCTGATCCCCTACCCTTTTGACTGCATTGTTCTAGGTTATATAGGCTAACAAATATTTTCATACCAATATCTCAGAAGTAAGTGCTTGTGCTTCTGCTCAGAATTGTGAGATGATTAAAATCATACAACCAATGGGGAGAACTAAGTAGCATTAAATTTCTGTCGCACCTCTCTTTCCTATCTTACTGTTGAGTACTGCAGCAGAGCAAGAAGAATATGACTGTGCAGAGGAATCACTGTCACTTGAAGCACAAGGCAGCAGTGTGTTTGAACTGGGATTTTAATATGGCTGTAAAAGGAAAAGGTAAGGAAGGTAGTCATATCTGACACTGTCTTGCATGGTCACTTTGCACAAAGTCCTTGGTTGCCATACGTGGGAACTGCTGATCACGCCATTCTTTTATTTCACACTGTTATGAGATGCATCTATTTCTTGAGACTTGTCTGTCCAATACCCCTTTATTTAATCGGTCCATTTTTCCCGATCCTTTGATTCTTTGATTTATCCTTTGATAAAGTGAGTTCCAGAAACACTGTATCAATCTCTTACTTGACTGAAACATAGTTTTGTTACAGACTAGACCTTCAAGCACTGGCATCTAATTCACTGATAATGTTACAGTGTTGAAATGTTGTTTTGTTATCGGAGCATCTTTATGGAATTAATTTGTAATGAGAAATTAATACCAGACAAGAATGTTGCTTATTCATTCCAAAATGGTGGATTTTGTATGGTAGCTTCTATTTGGTATTGATAAACAAAGAAATTTGCTCAATTTTCCACACTTTAATTCTATCGTAACCCATCTAAAACTTTTTTTTTCTTTTTTTCCAATTCCAGTTAGAATCAAAGTATTCTGTAATTTGTTTTAGTTGCCTAACTTGACTCAGGGTTCCTTCTGCTGGATAAAATTCCCATGTTCTATGGTAATATGTAGGAAAAGGTACATTCCAAGTGTTTTGAGTCTGTGAAATAAAAAGGTTTCTGCGTTGGAACAATGAGGTTCAGCCCATGTATCTGTCCTTCAGTGTCAGTTACACTGCATCTGTATGTGGTTTATGCTGGGTTTATTTGCCTAATCTGAGTTGTAATGTAACAGAGGAGCTGTGTTTGTAGGACCGTTAACCTAAGGACAGGCTGAAGGACCTTTCTTCCCAGTGGCAGAAATAAGCTGTTTTCCTGAGCGGACACAAGTGCATTACCTACAACTGCACGCAGTTCTGGTAACTAAAAGAACGAGGGGCTTTCTGGCCAGTTGTCACAGCTCTGTGCAACTGCAGTCCCAGTTCCCAGGCCGGCTGTGGGTACGGCCGCGGGGTGCAGCCTGTGGGGGGGTGCGGTCCGGGGGTCAGGCACCGCCTGGGAGCGGCGCTGCGTTTGGGACCGACTCGGAAAGCCGCAGGATCCAATGTGAACAAACTTTTTTTTCCACTAAAGGCTTCACTTTTATAACACCCATCTTCAAATAGCATGTAATTGCATATAATCTGATCTGAAATAGCAGGCTGTAGAAGTGCTCAATGCTTCTTAACCCTGCTTGGTGCTGGCATCAGGAGTTTAGCACCTTCATTGGGTGGCGGTTTCAAGCAGTTGAGCTCAATATTGTGTGTGTGTGTTTGGAGGGGGGACTGTATGTTATGAATTAAAAATGCATGTAATTTAAAAACTTTTAAAATAAAACGTACTGATTAACTCCCAGTAGTAATTCCTTGTCGTGTTTGGTTATCAAATAATGCAGTTAAATTCTTATCAAATAATGCAGTTAAATTCTCCTTAATTGCACCTCCTAGAATTACCTCAGTTTTCAATATTCGGAAGCTGGAAAGAGTCAGTAACTGCCAAGATACACAAAATGCCTCTAATTGGGTTGGTTTCTAGTGGCTCATTCAAGTTTCTTCCAGTGCTCAAAGAAAATTATTTTCTTTTTAATTGCCTCTTAAACACAGAAGTGATGGTGATCGTCCAGTAAGCGCTTTTTCTTCTAGTTAGCTTTTGAGACATTAGGGGTTTTGTCTGATTATTTTAACTAGGTCTATTGCCTGCTAAGCAATCTTAAAATTATCAGTTTTGTTAGTAATTTCAGTGGGATTTTTTGGGTTGTGTTTTTTTGTTTGTTTTTTTGTTTTGTTTTGTTTTTCCATTTTGTTTAAATGTTGTGCGTTTTAATAATACATTTTTTCAAAAGAGTATTTGTATGTGTAACGTCTCTTACATTTTTTTGTAATCCTAAAATTGGTGGCCGGCAATAAACATTATTTCTTGTACTTTTTGTACATAGAAACACATTAAAAACAAGTGTGTTAATGCAAGATGAAAAACATCCAGAGCCTAAGATTTATCTTTCATCTGAAAGAGATGTAAGGGAAAACCAATTATTTCAGGTGTTCATAAAGTAGAAAGAGATAATTAGTTTCTTAACTATCAGAAGGAATTGGAGAGAAGCACCTGTCTAATCATTAATTCTATTTGCAAAATACTTGACACTCTTGGAATGTGTTTGCTTTTGTTAATCTGAAGCAATTCCAGGATTTTACTGCTCAAAAATGTCAAATGGATGATATGTACATATGTATTAAAGACATCTTTTAATAGGATTTTTTGGTAAGCCAAAAGAAGTGGTCCTGAGACACAGAAGGACTTTTTCATCCATGGGACATCACGTTTTCTTAAAAATGCTGGGGAAACGTGAGTTTGGATAATCTCCCAGGGATCTGATTAAATGTTATCTCCTTTAAAGTTTAATGTAATGTTTTAATGCTGTGCAAATTAAAAAGCAAGCATAGCATTTCTGAACGTAATGTTAGTGTCACTGTCATGGTGCTGTCCTTTGAACCATATATTAAAACCTACTCTTAAAATGAGAGCTGTGAAAATGGGAATCAGATGTGGCAGAAGGGTAATTCTAAGACATTCCCCGTTTACTTCAGTGGAGGAAGAGTTAGGCCAATACTGAAAGAGTTTTGAAAAAGAAATTACTGATAAGATAGCTTTTTCCCTGTGCAGTTGTTTATTTTTACAAAATCTTGAGACATATTCAAAAGAGCAATTAAAAATGGATGAGAATAATATGTAAATCATTTACGTATGCAGTTCCAAGGTTGTATTTGCATACTCAAGATGCTTATCTGGGAAAAAACAACATGAAGGACTTCATTTTCAAAACCTGCCTTCAAAAACATGGAGAACAATGTGGGTATAGCCGTGTTCGTTTGGTGTTCTTTCAGGACCATTGTAAGCACACATGCAGATTGGAGATTGTATGGAAACGAGGGGAGTGGGTATGTCTGTATGTATTGACAATGTATGACTTGTCTGAATAGGCATTTCAGATCTTCTGTTTCAAATTTAGTTTTTTCAGTTTCAAGGAAGGCAGGAGACATGACTGGTTTAGCAACAGACCTCTCCCCAAAACCCCAACAAATTCATGTATTAAGTTATTTAAGACTGTGCGATGTTTTGATTGTTCTTGTGAGTCACTGAGTCCTAAAATAGTCAAGTTGAAAAAGCCAGGAAAAGGAAAGAATTTGAAGATGTATCTCTTGTTAACTACCCAGGAGACCACAAGATAGTAGTGCTAGTTTTGTTAGCCAGAGTCTTAACGGAGCGTGTTGAAGTTTTATCTTGATGAGCTGGCAAGGTTGCTGCACTCATTTTGTTCCGAGAAAAGGAAAGTAATTGAAGTACATACTAAAATCCCACTGATGGTAGGACAAGTAATAGTCTTTTCTTAAAAAAACACAAAGTAATATCTTAGGCTAGATTTACACTATTACAGTACAGCTGGAGAAGATGCTGTTGTCATCCTGATGATATTAAAAACACAGTAATTTTGAAGAGGGTAAATGTTCCATTACATCTTGTATTGTTGAAAAAGTCAAGTTCAGGCACTGAGTTCACTTTTCTTGGATGAGATGCATAACACATCTTTATTCTTACTGCTGAGAATCTTGTTGAATTTCATTTTTAGTAGGGGACGAAGGTTTCACATCACAATAGCTAAAATCATGTCTGTAAACTAGGTCCTTCTGAGGGCCTTCATCTAAGGGTGGCTCATGAACTGTGCCAGTACTCCACCTGTCGTTCCTCCCCAGGGATTTATGTAAGAGTTCTCTCATTCTCCTGTTTTCTTTGGATGTGGATTCCCAAATGATTTCAAGTTCCCCTTCCACCTTCCTAGAAAAAAATGAAGAGAAATCCGAATTTTAAAAACCTTTTTCAGCAGTATATAATTACAGTATGTGGACAAGCACATCATAAACTGCATGTATTTAGATGCCTGAAATTATCTGATTGAAATTCATTCCTATTTTCTTTTTCAAAGCCCACTAAATGTGATGCTAGAGAGGATCTCATCCAGAAGAGAAAAGATTTAGACCCACGTAATATGCTGGATTAAGTCTGCCCAGGAGCCGTGCGTGGGAGAGGCAGACAGCGGCCGGCCCCTGCCCGCTGCATCGGGACCCGTCGCGCCTGCGGTTCTGCCTCCTGCAGCAGGTCCCTCTGCTCCGTGGGCCGGGAGTTCAGCATCGACCCACCCAGGCTCCAAATGTCTGATCGAACCACGTGTCAGACGGTGCTTAGCTAATGCCTCCTCGCGGAGCTCAAAGAGAAGTGATGCAAGCTTTGTGGGAGTGGGGGAAGCGAAGGTAGTGAAGGACAGTCCTTAAGGCATTACAGTCTTATGGGCCAATTTCTCTGACTGCCCAAGCATAAATGAATGAATTATTTAATGCTTTTCTCAAGAAAATGTTATTTTTCAAACATGGCAGCTAACATGATTTAATAATGCAGTGAATTCCAGCCACAGACTTTGCATTAAGTTATATTTGGTCAAGGTTAAGCTCTTGGGTTTCCTCTAACTCTCTTCTAGTACATGTCAAAATACAAAATAATCAGAAAACCAGATCACTTGAAGTGGAAAGGAAAGCTATTGTATAGAAAATGAGCGCTCAAATTTTAATGGTACAGACTTCTGTAACACGGTCACTTCAAGCCACTACCTGAAGCACCTGACAGAGCCAGCCCTTCACACAAACTGTCCTGAATACCAGGCTCTAAAAATGAGAAACAAATCGATGCAAAACATAAATGTTTTCTGAGAACAAAGTGGTAAAAGGTGGCCCAGATGCGGTACTAGCTTATTTTGTCTTCCACCTTATGACTGGATATATAGATGGAAGATGAAATAAAACCTTCTTGAGAAGGCCCTTAGATTATCCTTGTATATATTGCTTGGAGTGAACTTTTGGTGGTGGTGGAGATCATCAAGAATGGAATTAAAGCAAAAGGCAGCAGGTGAAAGCAGTACTGTTGCTAAGAATAGCCCAAGACTCTGCCCAAGAACATGAGAAGCCACATTAATGAGTTGGACCTTTCAATTTCTGCCAAGTCTCTAAAAAGCTGTTGGGAAGCAATCTCTCCTTTTTGAAACACCGAAACTGTAGGTGACTTCCTTCTCACAAAGTGTATTTCTCCTTGAGCCAGCAGTAAGCATGTCTAATAATGCCAGTTACTCAGTATATTCTTCAAAGTGCTTTACAAAAGCAGTTACTGTTATCCTCGGCTTACATTTTGGGGGATGTGAGGCATGAAGAGTAAAATTATATGATTGAACTCCCCCAACGAATCCCAAGTTTCACCCGTTGGTTGACTTGGGCCCTCTGTATTGTGATCTTGGAACATTTTCAGCACCTTCTTTTATTTTTAAATTAACTTTTGTATCTTGATAGGGACAAGCTCCTGTTCTCTGTTGCTACTTCTCTCTGATTGGAGTCTGTCTGCAGTGTGCACAGCACTCTTGGGTTCTACTGTTAATACACGAGAGCTTAATCTGGCCTACCCTTAGTGCAGAACATTACCCAGGCTTTATTTCATCTTCTAAGTTCTAAAACAAAGACTTTTTTTTAAAGATTGTTTCATTGTTAATGTTTGTATGAGCTTGAAGCAGAGAAAATTTGAAGTAGGATGATGAAACTAAAGACCACTGAGTTCTGAACTGTAAGTTAATGCTGTCAGCATGCCTGACAAATGGGATGCTCTTTTTCAGCCCATACGTTCAGCTCAATGACAACCGCATCAATTTTAGAAGAAATAGTTGAAAAAGATTAGTTTTAAAAGTATCTATATGGTTAAAATTACTTCAGTGGCAAGGAAACATGCCTTTAGAGGTAGTGAACACTTCTTGGAGGATTAATTCTTAAACAGAGCTGAGGGATGCAGAACGTGCAAGTGCTGGCTGACTTTGCTTCGGAAGGAGCAGTCAGAGCGCGGTGTTGTCAAGGCAGCACACTGCAGGTGCCCTGGCCGCGCACAGTGTGCTGCAGTCATGGGTAAGTCCCTTCAGTGTGGCAAAACGCACTGCTTTTGTAAGTCAGCTAGTTTTCAGGTGAGCATCCAAGAAGTAGCAGTTAGGACCCAGGTGTAGTTAGGCAAAGGGGTTTTGTTTTAAAATTCTGACCTGATCAAAATCTAAAAATGCCTTCAGCAGAATGGGTTGGGGAGGGGGTGTCTGTCTTCTTGCTAGTCACAACCTCCCTGCTGTCTTAGGAACTTGGATTTTACATGGCAGTTTGGTTACCATAGCTGCTGATGGTCTGTGCTTTTGTCTCAGCACCGTAATTTCCTTGCTCCTACTTCACTGGGCAGTGGCCCTCAGTGCCCTTCTTAGATTTTTCTGATCTCAGCAGACATTCCCTCAAGCTCTACAAAGCATTACTACCCTTGACTATGACTACTGTGACATTACCCTGTACAGATCACAGCCGAATAGGTAACCCTTGCTATTCCACTGTGCCTGTAGCAGCTGGTTCACCTCTTCAAACACAAGTCTTTGTCACTTGGCATTTAAAACTAGGTATGTACTCAGTAGTAAACATGTCCAGTTTCTAGATGTTTTTAGGCAAAAAGCTTTAAGTTTTTTTCTCATAAAGGTAGACTGTTGTTACTTAAATGAGTAAAAATAAAAATTCCATTCAACCCCTAACTTAGCCAAAACTGGAGGTTTTATATTTCGTTGAGAGTAAGCAAAATCTCTGTGCTGTACTGATGTCTGAGGAAGAAAAAGTGAACAGAAGCAGATTCTTCTTTAAAACAGACAGAGCTTTCTGTTCTCACTGAAATACTCATTCAGCTATAATCTCAGAGAATCTTATTTGGGCTGCTGGCTCAAGAATTAATCTATTCTGTAAGAGTTTATTTAAATAATCCTTATCACAAAGATCAACAATTTTTATCATGATTACAATGTTATATGTAATCTTACAGGTAAAACAGCTCCTCTCCATTGCCTGTGCATGGCTGTGAGGCTTTTCTGCTGTTGACCCTCTTCTGAGGACAGTCTAAGGCTTTCAAACCTGCATTTAACATCCAAAGTATAGCAGCTGTAACTAACTCGAGGTACTGTTCCTCTGCAGAAGACTTACGAAATGCACTGACCTAGAAAACTCATAAAGGTAAGTGTCCTGTGAAATAAGACTTGAGGCATTTCTGAACCTGGTTTTCTAACCTAGAACCACGTTAACAACTTTGTTTATAACTGAAACTTGTGATGTATTTCATTTAAGGAAGGGTATGTGATAACGGTGACTCATAAGATCACTCTGTAAACAATACAAATGTCATTATGATTATCATCTGCTTGAAGAACAGAAAATGATACTGCTTTCTTGTCAGTTGCTTTAGGCGAAAGGTTGCTGTGAATTGCCAATATTCTCTGGCAAAGGCTGTAATTATTGCAAAGGCTCTACAGAGAGGCTTCTAGGGAGGTAAAATCTGCACATCTTTAGAAGCTTTAAAAGCTTTTATTTATCAAAAGAACAATTATAGGCATTTCTTTTTGAAAACCAAGTGGAAAAATTCTGTTCCCTTGGATGCAATGGGTAAGAAGTGCAACCCCTGATTTTTGTCATCAGATGAGAGATGATGCAGGAGGGGAGAAAATTTCAAAGGCAAGTCACCTCTGTTATGTTCGACGAAGTCCGTGTTAGTTTGGATACAGACTTGCCAAGAACAGAATGATGAGAGAAGCAGCAAAAATGAGGAGACGCGAAGTGGCGTCTTCCCTTGTTTTGCAAGAGAGCTCAGCACCACCAACACATACGGTAAACTGCTCTGCTGAGGAATTTCGGAGCAGCAGCTAAGACAGCCGTGCTAGGATTTCCTAACTCCACGACTGTAAAACTAAAGGCCAGAGCAAAAGCAATTATATGAAAAAGTTCTCTGAATTCACCTGCTTACATAGCTGTGGTCCGTGCCTTTAAATACTTAAATTTGTTTTACAGTCTTCCTAAAGAGAAATTGTAACTTTAATAAAATAAAAAATCAGCTATCCAAATAGTCAGCATACCTTCAGCAAAATTCTAAATTAAACTGACTTTCCTGCTTAAAATGTGGCATCCTACTTTGATTTTCATTACTTAAACACTGAAATTGAAGAATGTAATTTACAGTATATTTATTGTACGTGCTTACCTTGATATTTATACAGGTATTTTGAATTGAAACATTATCAGCTAGACAGTTTTCTGGACTGTAAATTTACTCCATAAACAGAGCTCGTGGAAGTAAATGTAAATGTTTGGTACTGTCCTGGCATTAGTGACTTTGGTTGCCAAGCTACAGATGACTAGCAACACCTAAACTACAAATAATTTTCCCTTCCTTACTCCTGTGACTGTGTGGAGGGAAGGGAGAGAAAAAATAAGCCTTATAAAACCAGAAATACACAAAGCTGACCAAAATATATGTTTCATTTCTGGCAGACAGGCGTAACAGAGTACATAAGTATTTGGATTACCTTGGGAAAACATATTACCATGATACTTGAGATGCATAATGGAACGTGAGGAAACTAGTCTATATGCACAGTATCAGCTGTGGTGTTACTTGGTTTTATTGATTTTGTTTTATAAGAATAAAAAAATATTCTTTCTTATATAGGTATAGAATTCAGCTGACTTCTCAGTGACATTTCATATGTTTAAATATAGGTATCAAAGGAAAATAGCGGATGATGAGATGAACCAAAATACAACTTGAAAGATAAACATAAAAATTACTCTTTATGTTCAGAGTTGTGTTCATTATGCTATACTCTAATAAATACTGTTAAGGCTTAACTACCATCAGAAAAAAAGGCAGTCACCAATAACACTGTTCATTAATGTAGGAGGCTACAGAAATGAAAGACATCTCTTTGTGAGGTTCATCTTGTGCTTGTTTCTAGAAGCCATTTTTCTTCATCATCATATTGTTAAATGAACTACTATGTTGTAGTTTCAGGTGTAGATCTTGCTTCTTAAAAGTTAGTTGCAAGTAAGTATTAATTTTGTGTGCTTACTGAGGAAAAAATGAAAACAATTCAGACTGAAGAGGAAAAAGTAATGTAGTATACTGGATGGAGAGTGTAATTATATGACATCATTTCAGGGCTAGAAAGGTAAATTTTGAGTGATCCATATTACAGGACCTTGAACTATGCTCTATCCTACATTGGAAAACACCTCTTTATTTAACTAGCAGTTCTCTACTGTAAAAAATCGTAACATAGTGGTATGAAAGGCACTTTTCGTTAAAAATCCTGAATTAACTATTTATAGAGAAATTTGGAGTAGTCAAAATACTGTTTTCTCACGCAAATGTTAAGACATTAGCAGGGTGTTCATTGTACAATTCCCAGCTACTCACACCTCTTTAATATAGCACTGTATAAAGTCATTGAGGGGAACTGTGCTGATAAAAGGTAGATGGTACCAAGCCCTGTTTTTCTATTGCCTTTAAATCTATTATTTCACAATAGCAGAGGTGACTTGTAGAATGACTGCTTAATTACCTCTCTTCAATTATAAAAAGCTTTTCCTGTATGCTGATACTGTGAATGTGCTCTGTAGCTTTCCACTACCAGAAGGAAAAAATACCTTTAAAGGACTCTATGCTAAAAGGATATTTCAACACTGACAGTCATAATCTTGTTCGAATCTATTAAATTATCTTTTCTTCTTTTTTATTCTGTACATAGCCAATCTAAGTCATTTACAGATCAGTAAGGTAGATTCAAAAGGAAACCCATCATATGTGCGTACGTACTAGAGTCCTTTAATCTCCTATTTTGAAAACTGTTGAGGGAGGGGGGAGGGTAAAAGTGTTCAGCCTTTAGTAGAAGATGCTATTAATTATTTAACATGTATCTTGATGATTTATAGACTTCCCAAATCATCAAAGGCTAGGCTCAGATTGATATTCTTAAGAAGTCTTAAGAACAGCAGTAGTCATCCAGAATAAATTCCTCCTTCAGAAGTTCTTTCTTGGAACTGGGAATTAAGAGGAGTGTTTCAGCATTTTCAGTATAGCTAAAACATAAGTGAGAAAAGACACCCGGAACATACCATGTGAGGCTCTGATGAGAAGCAGGAGCTTGCGGCTGTGTGCAGCTGCCTCCCCCCACCCCTTTTCCCCATCAGATCTCACTGGATTGCTTCTGCCTCTGACTGACCGACCTCTTCTGCTGCAGCACTTCATCGAGGGTTTCCTGTTTGTCTTGCAGCAGACGCTGGAGGTGCTTCATCTCCTGCTGGTACTGAGCAGCCTTCCCGGCAAATTCCTTCTCCTGCTCAGTCATCCTGAGACTGATATCTCCAAGCTTCCCAGCTGCTTTCTTTTTATATACCTGTAAGGGTTAAAGATAATAGGAAAAATGTGATTATGGAAGAAATAAGGACAACTCACTACCAACAAAAGAAATAGCTACAGATACTAATTTGCAGTTCAACCTTTACATCAGTGCTGCCTTGCCTAAATGTCAGGTAGGTTGCATTATGGTTTTTTTCTTTACCTATTTGTTAATTTGAAGGTATTACACTTGTACTTTGTTCTGCATATAAAACTTGTGTGTACAGTGAATACCATACCATATGTTTGTCTTACGAGTAAAAAGAATTGGCTGCAAGAAAAGGGTTTGTTTTCCAAGATGCAGAGCTACACTTCACAGCTCATGTTGCTCACCAGTTGTCCAACAGTCCTATCTATCAATAGTGTTTGTGTTCTGTTAGCTGTTTAATCTTAATACTACAACGAAGAAACGAGTAGCTTTATGTTTTAAAATATCTTTCTGCTTCACATAATTGTTCCCTCCGTTCAGTGAAGCACAAGTGATTTTTTGCTTATAGACAATAACAACCAAATATATTGGTCTAATCTCAAAACCATGAAATCCTTTTTCCGCAAAGTGATTTTGCTTTCTGAAATAACATCCCCATTAAATTACATAAGCACATGAGGAACTGAAAAATACAGCTTGTGTATTGTTACACATTTCTACATGCTGCTGCTCTCAACAAAAACAACAGCTATTATCCAATATCAGCTTTTTTCTCGTGATTACAAACAGCATGCTTAAACTGTTACTGTATCTGCAGAATGTGATCTTTGATACAAGCTACAGGACAGTTTTGGGATGGAAGCACCTCCTTTAATAAAACTGCAGGCTATTTAGTGAACCTTTGAAAATGCTGCTATTTATGTCTTGCTAATATAAAGTTTTATCTAAGGTGTTAACCACTAAGGTTTTATGTTCATCTGAATCGAAGCTGAAACTTTGAGTACGCCTTTTGGAGGAAGGAAGGGAAAAAAAAGGGGGGGCATATTTTTCGGTACGTGCTACAAGCTATACAATCCTTTCCACAAACTGTTTCCTTTTTAGTTCTTGTAAAATGTGTCATTTTGGAGTTTTGTTTTCTGGAGGTAATAGGATAGTAATAAATAATATTTACCTAGAACTTTAGTCAGTCAACATTTAAGGCTGACTTCCACAGCTTTTTTATTCCCCTAGCTTTTCCCTGTCAGTCCAAGACAAGAATTAGAAACCTGCAAGTTAACTAGTCACATCACTCGACTTTTTAGATTCCCAGAGAAGTCTTCAAAATGCAGTTCGATGCTCACACCTGTAACGCTATGGAAAGATAAAGGTAAGCACATCCCTTCCAAGCAGAAGGTTGCTTAGAGCTAGCCTAGAAGTGCAGAGCACAGGAAAAGAGCTGAACTGTCACCTGTCAGTAAATGCCACCTCCAGATCCGGAACCTGAAGTTGTCTCTTTAGGGCAGGTGCCTATAATTATTTCAGAGGACTACAGAGAACTTCCTCTCTCTTCTAAGGGCTGATAAAGCAAGCAGCCAATAGTATTGGTGAAATCCATTTTTTATCTAGTGGTCGCTGATCATCCAGCTCCTGGGAGGGCTGCGTGTTAAGCTACACTCTGCCCGAGATGGGGCAAGCCAGCGGCTCCCGCTTACCCCCCAGCTGCCCCTGTTGCCCTGGCACGCCTGCTCTTCATTTGCCAACTGAAGCTGTGTCACGTGCGGAACTGTTGCAAAATCAGTGGTGCACCATTTTCTAACCTAATTATTAGGGCCTGAAACTAGAAATGAGCGATACGTAGTTCTGATCTTGCTCCTATGATTGCTTAGAACTAGGTCTGCTTAAAATGCGTAAGCTATCTCAGCACAACTTCAGCAGGATGGGTGAAGGGTGCCTAGACCGCTCCATACTCACCTGTGGGAGCCCGGCCAGGCCAGGGTGGTTCTGGGCACACTGACATGTGCAGCTGCTGGCCCTTGCCCATCCTTCACAGCAGGCTACCACCTTGGAGTTGTTCAAGACCTCCTATCCCTTTTCTCTGAAGTGAAGCAGGTAGCAGTAAACAGACTGGTGGAGATGACAAATTTCAGGAAGCTGGTGATAACATGTAGCTGAAAGCGGTAATATTTTCCTCTAGAGGTGAAAAGGGGAGTCTACCCAAGGGCATGGCATCACAGCTGTACAGTGAGCACCCAAGATGAGGAGTGGTCATGGATGCAGCAGCTGGTACAGAAGGGGGCATGATTTACACTCTTCTGAAGTAGTTACAGGAAGGTATGCTCCTGGGCACTGTAATTCTTTTACGCTTTAGGTACTGAATTACAAACTGCAAACTGCACGATTTTGGATACAGAGCCAACAAACCATCGCTACAAACATAGTCTGCTGCCCATGATACATGTAATGATCTGGTCCCAAGATCCTTGTTGGGGCAACAAAGCTATTTTCTGGCAGTCAAGTATGTTTTTTCTCCTATCCTTTACCAGTAAAAATTAGTATCATCCTTTCCAAAAGAGAGCAAAGTAACATCTGAAGAAAATTGTCTGTCTCTGTAAAAAGTGTTATAATTCTGACCCTGACAGAACAGCCATGTAATGGGAACCCTGATGAAATTTTTCCCAGGTGCTAAGGAACATTGCCAGTTGTCTCCCATGGCAACTAAAAACTTCTAAAATACATTAATTAAGATCACAGACAGTTATCTTCAGAACTGTGTAAAAAGCCATAGATTGGAGCAGGGGAAGTCCTTTTTTAGTAGTAGACAAGGATTATGTTTGTACCTATAACCTTTCCAGTAAAACTGGATTGTGATAGATGAAAAGTAACAGCCTATATATTCAGAAGTTTTAGTGAAAGAATGTCTTTTTTTCGGACAATGTTGTGGTGTTACTAGAAAAAAACCCACTTCCTCACAAACACTAGATTTCTGGTCTGTTAAGGGTTTGTTTCTCTATTCAGCCTCTGTGAAAAGGATGTGGGTAAAATGTAGAAACTTTTAAATTCAAAAGCCAACAAAATCAATAAAATGTTCAGCTGTAGTATTATATGCCACAGTAAATGAGCTCCCTTATTTGCAGATTGATATTGGCACATAGATAAAGGGCAGATAGTTGGGAAATCAATTAAAAAGGAAAGCTGTTTATGCCTGAGAAACTTTAAAACTATGTGTCCAAAGGTAGTTGTGCATGTACATGACCTGCTTTGAGAAAAGATACCTAGTATTAAATAAACAGAAGTGACTTTGTATTTGAGACATAAAATTGACACAGGAACAGGAAATTGAAATTTCTATTACTTGAGTCTTACTTTATTCATGAGCACCTTGAACATAAAACTTTTGCAAACTAAATAGCTCACTAGAGAAAACATTTTATATAGGGTATTTCCTTATTTTTATCTTACTCTATTATTTAACCGATTTTTATCTTACTCTGTTTCTTCAACCTATTTCTATCTTAATTCTCTTCTCCTGCCCTAAAGAGGGGTATGATGAAGTATTCTATTCCCATATAGAACGGAACTTACATAAACACAGCAGAAGCCTCGAGTTTACTTGTTTAATGTTACCCCTGGTTTTTGAACTTGTAGGTTGAACTTGTCAAATTTTAAAGATTTCTATAACCAGGAAGGCTAGAAACTTTTTTTAAAAAATGGGATTTTTCCTGCTAATGGCAAGCTGAGGGAAGATTTGGCAATGATGAATTTCAGTTTTCTGAGCAACACAAGTGACTTAGTTCTATTCATTTTATGAAACAGAGCACTGCTACAATAGTAGGACAGATGAGTAACTGATACTGGGCTTGTAGCATCAAGGTAACATTTAGGAAATATTTGTTCTTGTTAATTGCAGGTTTATCCTAAGAGGTTCAAAAGACTTAACCTGAAGTTTTAAAAGGTACTTAAATGTGCTAATACTAAATGCTTACTTTTAATTCCATTGCTTTATAACATACCACCACTCTCTTGGCAGAAATTTTCTAGCCTCCTTCTCCTCAAGCTCTAGTAACGAAGTATTTTACTAAACTTTCTGATATATGCAGTTTCTTCTACCTCAAGGGAGGTACAAGTAGATTTCAGATGTGGTAGGTTAATACTTTGAAAAAAAGAAAACCATTAAAAATACTTAAATGTAGCATTCAGCTATCATGTGCAATCTCGTATTTTACAGATTAAAATTTCTGTAGTTATGTACAACAAGGGTTGTTAAAAAAACCCAACAAATCAACAACAACCAAAACCCCAAACCAGTTCTACTCCTGTTAGGAATTGTACTTATGCAAAATCCTGCTGTAGAAAACATGACATTTTACTTTGTTGTTGTGAAAAATTCGAGGTGTTAATCTAAGTCATCACTTTGGTATCTAGTTACTAATATGGAATTTTCTATGTACAATGTTAAGGTGATTCTGGTTTCTCTGCAAACTATCTATTTTGGCTACCAAGTGTACTTTAGTGGGGTTTAGTGTAGTCATTGGTTCTTATTCGGAAATCGTCAATCTAAATTTATTATTTGGCTTTGAAACACCCAAAAATATTCTAGTGGGAACCTAGTATTGCTTTTTTTAAAGAATAATTTTTGAGTTCATGAAACTGCTGTCTGTGCTTAAAAAAAATTTCATTTAGGATCTTTACCTGTGAGCAGTTCTTTTTAGAGGGCTGAAGGAACCAACACAGAAAACTTAAACTGAAGTTAGTATCCTTGAAGAATAACATACAGGAAAAAAAAAGTATACTTGTATAAGCTTTTTTAAGGACTCCTGCCTCTGTTCAACTCTGGGAGTAGGCAGGGGAATTCTTAAAAGTCTTTGAGGTGGTAACTTTTTTGCAACTTTGGATGTTTGTTAACTTTTGGGGTCTGTCACCATTATATGACACTCTACTGCAGTTATATGCTAGGATCATGTCTGGAAAACCAGAGGTCCGTTCTGACTGTGGTGGAGAGGGAGAGAGTAAACTATGCTCTTTCTTTTCTGATTCTTTAGAGAACACCCTGAAAGAATGCACTCCTCTGTTTCCTATCCACTGCTTAAATAGGATTGACTGAGACAAAAGCCACTTGCCAGAGATGAGAGTGTGTTTCTGTGGAGACTGAAGGTGACTTCTAGCTGCTGGTCATCCTCACAGACATCACTGGAGTTAAGCACAGTGATTTAGATAAAGCAAGGAAAAAATAATGTGCTGTGATAGAGACAGTGTCTGTCGCTAACTAAAGCTTATTTGAAAATACCTCTAAAATGAATACACTGAAATAGGTTAACAGGGAGCAGCTTTTAGTAGAGAAGTTTCTGATGCTACCTGATATGCTCAAAACAAGCCACATAGAGACATGCAGGGTAGGCACTGTACCATCATTCTGTCTAGCCTAAGAGGACATTGTTTCTGGGGTTTGTTACAAAGGTCAAGAACAGATGATTTTGCAGCAATGATGGAAAGACAGGTTCTACTCAGCAGGTGATTGAGAATGCCAGACACACCTGGTCAAAGGGGGATACTGATCTCTTCTCTGATTTGTAGCAGGTACTTTTGTATGAGTGGCAGAGCACGCAAATAATCTACCTGTAAGTTCACAGTTTTGACTTGAGTAGAAAAGTATGAGGAAACTGAAACAGTTTCAGACAAATGCCTGAGTAAATTTGGGCACATCAGTCTCTCGTGAGCCATTTCAGGTGTGAAGAAAACCTGGAGGAAAGAATACTTGTTTCTAATGATGTTTCCTTATCAATAAGACAAATGCATTTCCTTTCAGTTTTGGCTATAATTCCTGTTTTCTATACAAACACTGTTAACTCTGGGGAATAGGCTACCTAGTATACAGAGTAGTGACATATACTTACAAGACTCATTTAGGGGTTCTTTGTATACTTCAGCTTACATCACAAAGTCTGAAATATCTTGAACATGTCCTGGAATGAAGGGAACGTGTATTGCAGTATTATATGCTGTACTACCTGGGCCCTTGTTTTTCCCAGTTGGTAATTTGGGACAAAAATATGGGTGCATGTTCTATCAGATATGATCCTGCCTGATAATTAAAACATCTAGAAAAAGTAGTTCCATGGAGTGAGGTGGTTGGTTGGCTGGTTTTGTTCAATGTTTGCCATGCAAGGAGGAGGACACAGCCATCTATATTGATGATAACAGTGGGTGGGATGAGTAGGTGCAAGGGCAGACTCACTTTAACTCCCATTCCTCTGGCATATTTGTATATGATAAGAATTAGGGCAGAAGGGTGAATCTGCTATTCTCGTGTTCTGATTCAGAGATACTCCTTTTTTTGATTATGATTACAATCTCTGTAAGCAATATAAAATTTAAAAGGTTTAAATAAAATTATCTGCTACAATATGATGGTCATGATGCAAAGAATAAATCTGTGCATCTTCTCAAGAGACAGAACCTTCATCGCTGCCATGTCTCAAGTTCTCCCCTCTGTTAACAAGTGACATCCTCGACCTCCTGAAATTAGTGGCAACACATCATTAAGTCTGTCGTTGTAGCCAAGACTGAGACCAGGCATAGTTAGAAAATGGTTATGGAAAAATTCCAGGAAGGTGGATCCTGTTCTAGGAAGGAACTGAATGATTGCTTAGAATAAGCCTCAGTCCAAACAATATCAAATGGCTAAATGGATGTATTATGATGACAAAATGAATACGGCATTAAGAACAAGGTATGTCTTACAAAGTCTGAATGCAAAAAGAGCCAGTAAAACAACCCACCGAAAAAGTAATTGCTATCCTGACCTTTCATTCTGAAATTGTTGGTGGGGAAAAAAGGAAATAAGATCTATTTAAATTTTTTTTTTTTGGTACATAAAAGCTGCTCTATACTTAGTAATTTGCTGGTTCTGTCTTGTTATTTAATTCAACAGAATAATTCAGTTGGGAGGGACCTATAACGATGCAAAAGCTGATCTAAGTGTATCATTTCACTTTGGTCATAGAGAGTTTCGTGTGTCAAGGACTTTTACAATTATTGCTGACAGTATATCAACTCTTAAATGCAATATTGATTCTACAGGTTTTGTAGGTAGTTTCCTTAGCTGTATCTTCTCCAGGGACAAGATGCAAATTAGTAAGTACCATCTCCCCTTCCTGCCTCAAGGACCATGATTGGATGCTGCCAAAACAGGGTTGAAGAAAAAAAAAGTAACCAATTCTAACGCTTTCTGTTCCAGTCTTGTTAAAAAGTGCACAGAGCAGATAATAAATAATCAAGTTGCCTTTCACGACTGATGTCTGTATGTATAAAAAGAGGAGAAATGCTGCTTTTTATTATTATATAGGAAGATATTATAGAGCTAACCAAAAGAAACTACATACTGAAACTGAAAACATTTTAGTGGGCCAGTCATATGCTTAAAATAATGAGAGCAAGACAGCTAAGCATCTCCTGGACATTCTGAGGTGTTCAAACTTCACAATGAAAAGTGAGAAAGACTCAAGTGCACTTTACATTTCTCCCTTGAGTTTTATTCACTATCACTTAATGTGAAAATAAGGAAGAAACTGCATGTGGTGAAGGCCCATCCTTAGGACTGACAGCACCACAGGAGCAGTTTCTTCTGTGGCTGCATTACAAAAATGGCAATGTTCTGGGAATTTTCAAGGGCCCCCCAATGGAAAAATTCAAATTCTAACAAACTAGAATACATTCTGGACAGAAAAGCCACGTGTGCATTGAGACTTAAATCCATGGTCTCCTGATGTTCTATCCAAAGCACCTTTCCCTAAATCCAGATTAATGTTGATAGGTACCAGGGTGAAGAAGCACCCTTGTTTCACTCAAATGTGCTGGTGTGCACAACTGGTTTATAGGAATACAGAGCAAGCCATGCAATGGTTACAGGCATTTCAGAAATACACAGTTCCTCAGTGTTCAGGTAGTGTTAAGAATAAACCTTGAGTGCTTTCTCTTCACCAGTAACAATTTTGTACTCTAAATGCAGTATGTAGCAAGATGGTAGGAAAAAAATTAAGGCCAGCCTGTTTGGTGAAGTTGCATGGAAATGAGGAGAGTTAGTGGGACGTGCTAGATATTTTCCGTATAAAGATTGTTTCTACCTATTTTTACTAAAACCTTATGACTGGCAAAACAACTATCAAATAGAGATTCAGAATCCATGAAACAACTTGTTATAATCCGACTTCTTCTTTTTGACAGTGTGTCTGATTTAAAGATGAATTACACTTGCACTGAAGAAGGAAAGGTACCTGAAGATGAACTAGAATGCAAAATATGCTATCAGAGATTTACTGTTCACAGTCGTAAGCCCAAAATCTTGGATTGTCTTCACAGAGTTTGTGCTAGATGTTTGACTAAAATACTTCATATAGGAGACAGATCTCCCTGCGTTAGCTGTCCTTTTTGCCGCCATGAGACAAAATTGCATGAAGATGAAGTTGAAGGGCTCCCCAATGATACAAACATTATGTCCAAGCTCATATCACAAGACAAAACAGCATGGAATTCTGACTGTAAAGAAGTAGTTTTAACACCAAAAAACTTGGCTTCCTCAAGTTCTTCCCATGGATCATCAAACTGCTTAGTAATTACAATTATGGAAGTACAAAGAGACTCCCCAAGGACTCCCAGTCAAAGTACTGCCTCCGATAATTATGCTGACCATGGCACTGAGTCAGTGTCTCGAAGTTCTCAGAGTCAGCTGGACCAAGATTTCTTTTCAAAGCTATGCAAGCACGTACCCAGAATACTGGTATGGCTGCTCGGATTTCTTTACTTTGGTTCTCTCCCTCTTGGGATCTATTTACTAGTGATTCAGAAGGTGACCCTAGGTGTTGTGTGTGTGAGTTTTGTTCCCTCCAGTCTAACTGTCTGTCTCGTGTATGGCTTCTGCCAGTGCCTCTGCCATGGAACTTGCGACTGCTCTTCACGAAGCTGATACACAGTGTTTTATCAATTGGTAAATTTTTAACTGAACCATAAACCAACTTAATTGCAAACTTTAACCTTCATAGACTTTACAAATGCGTATAGTATGACATAGTTTTTTTAAAGTACAATAATTTGTGTGAACACTAGCAAAATAACAACATCGTGGTGTTGTGGTTTTTCTTTTACTAAAAAGATGGTGGTTACTATCACCCATTCCTGAAGTTACAAATGGCTTTAGACTACCATCTCATTAACTGTGAACAGAACAGATATTTGAAGGATGTTTATTGTTTAGAAAACAACCCACCCTGTTTTCATCAAATCCACTGTCACTGGTTTTAAAAACAGATGGAGATCAGAAATGCTCTGTGTAGCACCTGTTAAAATAACCAAGAGCCCCACTACCAGCTATTTCAGAATTGAGTCAAATCTTTCCTGATATCAAAGGGAAAAAAAGTTGCATTGATTCTGCTTTGCAATCAGATTTTTCAGGAAAGTTTTGAGTTACAAGAATTATGAAAAAGAAGCTTGTAGTTGAATCTTAAAAACTGTTCTTTAGTTGGCCCTTCAAGTAAGCTTTAACATTTTTCATGATTCAATATGCCTGAAAAATTATCTGACATAAGACAAAGTATATAAAAGTAGAAATGAACCTAAGGTTTTCAGAATTAAAATACCAAAGCAAATTTGGTTTCCTTAACACAGTTCCTGTGCAAAAATTATTTTTCTGAGTATGTGTATTCAACCTATTTGATACTGCTCTACTGTTGTTATCTAAATTTTGTACGGTTGTACTGATAATCTACAAAACTTTTTGCAGAGTGATTAACTTTATAAAGTTTGTTTATAGTAATTGCCAAATCCCAAACTAAAAATGGGTATTTATAAAAAGAATCACTTTTAATTTGCTGCTTAACTTAAACATGAACAGTTTACAATGTGTAATAAAGCTGTGTATATAAATATTGACATGGTTTTGGGTTTTATTTTAACAATAACCTGTTATTTAGCTTTCAAGACTTATACGGTGATTGTGTTCAACAGATCTGCCAGATCTTGATTTGAGACTTCTCAATGAAAAACAAAAACCACAGGATTTTTGTTCATTTACCTTCTCTAAAAGAGTTCACACTAAAAGGAAGAACTCCAGTCCAACAGACCAGATCCACTTGGTGCAAAGCACAAATGACTGGACTTCAGGGGGAAGTGATCTAAAAGGAATGGAACTGACAGCTTTTTGAACGAGCACTGTTTATAGGGTATGTGCTGTGTGTTTCCAGTGAAGAATGGCTGTCCCGCCTAGCCTTCCCTCTCTCCTCCCCTCAAATAACATTTGCAGTGATGTGAAAGAAGCCCCTGAGACTCTTCTGACACACAGATGGTGCATCTGACCTGTAACATAGTTTTGGATGAGCTTGTGCCTGCTGAGATACAAGGCAATGAATTCACCAAAAGGGAAACTTAAGATACCTGGTTATGTCTAAAAAGTAGAAAATACACTCACATTGCAGGCACTTGTAAGTAACTCAAACCTGTAAGCTAGAAGCTTTTCACTCATCTTAACCTGAGGACTGTATGCTCTAATTAATACAACATAATTTGTATTTCTTATCTTGTATCTCACTGAAATAGCTAGAGGTGGCTAAAAGCCAATGCAACACACCCTTTTTGAAGAAATAGCTTAACACTCATATTACCAGTAGTTACATCACCCTTACAGAAAAATTAATGCATTTTAAATACTATTATCACTGGAGGCAGATTATATCTAAATACCTCATAAGAGGTTTATCCTCTAATTCAGCATACAGGGCAGTTACCCAATTTGTTATTTCCTGAAACAGCTGATAGTAGTGTTCCTCCAGCTGATACAATCACAGAATGGTTTGGGTTGGAAGGGACCATAAAGATCACCTAGTCCCAACCCCGCTGCCACGGGCAGGGACCCCTTGCCCCAGCCCAGGGTGCTCCCTGGCCTTGAGCCCTTCCAGGGAGGGGGCAGCCACAGCTGCTCTGGGCACCTTGTGCCAGGGCCTCACCACCAGCCCAGGGAAGAATTTCTTCCTTACATCCAATCTAAATCCACCCTCTTCCAGTTTAAAACTGTTACCCCTCATCCTATCCCTACACCCCCTGATAAAGAGTCCCTCCCCAGCTTTTCTGTAGCCCCCTTTAAGTACTGGAAGGCTGCTCTAAGGTCTCCCCAGAGCCTTCTCTTCTCCAGGCTGAACACCCCCAACCCCAGCACATACTGCTGGCTCACAGTCAGTTTTCCATCCACTAATATGCCCAAATCCTCTCTGCAGGGCTGCTCTCAATCTACTCCTCGCCCAGACTGTTTGTGCTTGGGATTTCCCCGACCCATGTGCAGGACCTCCTGTTTGGCCTTGTTGAACTTCATGAGATTTGCACAGTCCCACCTCTCCAGCCTGTCCAGGTCCCTCTGGATGGCATCCCTGCCCTCCAGCCTGTCACCGCACAGCTTGGAGTCGTCAGTGAACTTGCTGAGGGTACACTCGGTCCCACTGTCCATGTCACCAACAAAGATGTTAAACAGCACTAATGAGACCTCCAACCTATCTCCTAGTATGTAGTCTTAAAATAAGCTGCTGTCCAAGTTCCATGGTTGCTAGAATTGTGCATAAACTGTGAAGGCAAACGTATCTTGCCATTGAAGCATCCTTGTGCCTTTTCACATTCACCTGATTTTTTATCAGCAGCACCTGAAAAACCAGTGTGTGCAATATGACCTGTTATATTTGAGGAACTGCATTACATATTGGGATTAAGAAAGTCTTGTGACTAAAAAGAACCAAACCAAAAACTTGACAGTGTATTCAGACTTACTAATTTTTTTTAAATGTGTCAAACAAAAGAATCCAATACCTTTCCATAAAACACTGAAGAATTCGTAAGTCTTTTATAAAACCACTGACACAGATTAACTACTGACTTTTCTCATTAAAAAGACATTTTACATAATATTTAGCTTAGAAACACTGCTTACCTTAACTTTTTCTTCCAATCTTCCTAAGCGTAGACTGCCTTCTACTATTTTCTTGAGAACACCATGATTCTCATTTTCCAAACATCTGGCCTGCAAACATGTAGCATACACATAACTAAACATAATCACTACTTTAGACAGGTCAGACAAAATAGATACATGGAGGAAGACAAAGCTATTCTGTTTTGAGCTCCAACAGTCTAAAGAACCAAGATGGAAAAAGAATTGTGAAAATTATTCTAATAATGGCTAATATACTATCTACTTAATACTAGTTTTATCCTGAAAGAATCATAGCCAGTAATACTGTAAACCAAACCAATTCTGCGTATTTTTCTACAGAGGTTCAAATGTCTCCATCCCATTTGTATGCATGGGAGACTCATCCTTCTGGGTCAGATTTAGCAGTCTGCTCTCAAAAGAGCCCTTGAAATTGGCAGGGGTTCAGGCAAGGAATCTGACGTGGCTTATGAAATGCTTCTGTCTTATGACTGTTTTCATCATTTCACAAGCACTATATTTTCTCTCTGATCAAAAAAGTAAATTGAAACAAATACTGCATAAGCTGTAAACAATGAAATTATTTTAAAACTGTAAGAGGTTTCAACTGTTAAATCCACTGAAAGCATTCAAGAGAGAAATAACCAGGTTTTAGAATCAGCAGTGTCTGACCACCTTGAACCACCCATATCACTCCAGAGACCCATCTCCTTTCACGGAAGCCAACATTAACTCGCATCGCTGGAGTCTGTGAGCGTCACACTCAGTGACATTTTGATTTACTGTGTGGTTGCTGAGTCATACAATACAATGGAAGAATCATTTTGACAGCTGCTAACTCAGGATTACAGTTCATCATCAGTGTTGCACTATGAAAATTGTTTTAAATAAATTTGTTGCTGCTCTGTTTTACTGAATTTATCAGCAGGCTGTCACTGTTCGTGGAAATAGTAAATTTAAGACTATCCATTTATTTTTGTGAAGATGTGGTTACGACCGATTAAAATCCTCATTAAGTAAGAATATAGGCTAATTCCTTAGAGTGCTGTACCCTTCCTGCTCTCCCTGTTCTTCTCGATTAAATCTGCATAAAATTAATTTCAGTGCTTTAATTCAATCAGTGAATTAAAAAAGAATAAGGCTAGGGTAATAGCAGTACCTGAACTGAGTAAATAAACATGACATGACTGAATTTTGAGGTGGAAGAATGATAATATATTTTAAATTATACATTATGTTCAGTAGTGGCTCTTCATAATCATTAAATTAAATTCTAACTAGATTTTTTTTTGGTTTCTAGGCCTTCCCATTAGACAACCATATCAGATTACCTGGCTACAAGACACCTGCAGTCTAACTTTCTGCCAAGGTAGGTTTTAAATTCAGTGATTAAAAGTAGGAGCAGGTTGTTCTGATTCAGCTCTACCAGGCAGCAAAGTAAAATGGTTATTTAAAGGTTTTACTGATACTAAACTATTTCAGCAGAAAAATTTGTCTCAGAGTACTTCTGCAGTCAGCCCAGACACAGTGAATTAGCAAAAAAAAAAGCAAGACTTGTGCACTGTTTAATATCTAAGCCACAAAACGGAGAAATAATGGACAGCAAGAAAGCATGTGTCATCATCATACACAGGAGAATGGGATCCAAGAGAAAGAGGTAAATTATGTTTTGCATGACAGGGCTGGTTCTAATTGCTGGATGAGTTTGTATCTGTCTAGAAAGACTGGCCATAATTGACTGCATTTTGGGCTGTTTTCCATGGACCTACTCCGAGGTTTTTGCATGTGCATGAAATTTGACTTTCTAGCGTGTACTTTCAGGTGCAGGTTTCAGAAGGGAAGAATGGGATGTCAGACACTGTAAACTTGCAAAGATAGGGTTTACACTACCTCGGGGTGATTAAAGATATGTTAAGACATCTTTCCTTCTGAAACAGGCTTTTACTGCTAAAAGTATTATGAACACCTACCTTTACCTTTAGATTCAGAAATGCATATTAAAAGTTTATGGCTGCATGCTATTTTTCAATACACAAAGCTTTAACAACTGAAGTAAGTCTCTCAAATCAGGTTAAAAAATTCTTTAACACTTGATATATACGATTGCAGACTCTAATGGTGATGTGAGTTAAGGCTTAATTATGTCGCCTCTAGAAATACTAATAATTTAAAAGGTAATTACCAAAAAAATAAGATGATCACGTTCCTGAGCTATCTTCTCCACCAAACCAATAAGGTTAGTTAGATAGTGATGGGCTGCAATTTCTTTTTCCATTGCTTCCTCCAACTGCAGTTTCAAGAGACCTATTTTCTTCTTTAATCGTCTATAAAATTAAGAGAAAAAGGAAAATCTTCAGCTTGGAATTAATAATGGCATTAAAAGAAGTTGCATTGCATGTGCAAATCAACTTGCACAAGTCTCAAACAATCAAATATACTGTTAAAGATGCACTGGCTCAAAACATTTGCAATGCCAAAAGCATCGTTTCCTACTTTTTGGAGCTGTTTTTCTTTACGATATGCTGCAAGAATACCAACAGTAACAATGATTCAAAAGAAGAATTTGTGCAATGGCTGCAGGTTCATGTTTCTCAAGAATATAACAATAATGTTTTTTTACTTTTTAAAGTATTGTGAGCCCAACTCTGAACCACTCGGGGGCATGAGAAGTTCTGCAAATAGCGGAAGACCCTATTTTTCTGGTGAGTACACAAATGATTAATTGCTATAGCTAACTACTAGCATTAAAGATATATTTTTAATTTGCATGTAGAAATAGAAGAGTGTGCATGAAAACATATAAAGCTTAGCAAAGTTACTTGACAAGCAGGCCTTTAGATGTGACAAAGACGTGTTTAGGAAACATGGTTTTTCTGTAATAGGTAGAAATTACACGCTGTGGGATGTCAGACAGTATTTTTACAAATATTTCTGCTGTTATTTTTAGAAATGTAAGTATTTTTATAGAAGAAAATGAGAATGTGTTATGACCTGTTTGTCTTTTGTGTCATTTCCATCTCCGTTTCCAGGATCTTGTTGTCAGCCATGAAGTTATTTTTCTCTAAAAGCAGTTTCTTGTTCTGAGCTTGCAGTGATGTTATCTTTCCCATTAGATCCTCCACCTCACAGCGTTTTTTCTCCTGCTCCTGTTGTAAATGGCTGTAAAAACCAACAGTGTAGAACAGACATCATGTACAGACCTACTTCACTGAAAAGTTATGTTACAGTAAGATGCCCATGTTAAAGGCATGAAAAAGATATATTGAGAATGCTTAACATTCAGTGGTGACAAAAAGAGGTATTACAATCTCATGACATATCAAATCACGAAGGAAGTATAATACAAATTATTCAAATAATTAATCCTGACTGTACTTGAAATAGAATTTCAATTCTAAAAATATCCTAAATAGTCCAAATGTATTCCCTTCTAATTTATTTTTTTTCAACTAAATTACTAGCAATGCCAAAAAACAAGGTCTGAGAACTTCTCAGGAAGGCACTGTATCAAGAAACAGTAACTTGCACTATCATAAGGCTCGAAAGCAAACATTTATAGAATGTCTTTAGAAGAACATTACTTTATAGACTACGCTGCACGACAGCACTTTTCTGCTGTGCTGTTTCGCGTTACTTCCAGAGTGTAAAGACTGGAGAAACTTAGTATTTTTAGTTTAGAATTTCAAGATCTTTCAGATATTTTCCCAAAGATGGGAACAAAAGAATGAGAACTTTTTATATACGGTGTTGATAGGTACAAGTAGATTTGACAAAAATGGTATTTTTAATGCATCCTATTATTTAAAAAGGTACCCTTAGCAGTACATTCTCTATGGTAGAAACACTTCTACTGCTATCTCTAGATCTGGATTTTCCTTCTATAATTTTCATTATAAAAACTTCTATAAAAACAAAGTATTTTTGAAATATTTACCTTTCTTTGTACTTTGGTAGGTATCTTCCCAGATTACTACCATAAATTTCCACTCACCTCCTACCTACAGAGGGAGGTGTATGGGGGTCTGTTCACCTGAGTGCTTTGCAGAACTGTTTCTCTGTGCACCTTATGTAAACTCTTACCTTTTTAAATCATTCACCAAAGCAAAGTGCTCCTCTGCTGCTATTCTGCTATCCAGTTTAGCTTTCAGCTCTTCACAAGTAGAACGCAAGGCTTCCAACTGCTTCTGGTACTCTGCTATTTCTTCTTCTTGAGTCTGTTTCTTATCTTCCAACATTATTACCTGTTTGGTCAATTTTGAAGCTTTTGGGAGGGAAAAAAAAAAAAAACCAAAACTGGGTACAGCAGAACTAATTCAATCACCTAACCTGCAAAAAAACAAACCCGCAGTACTATCTTTGGTGTTGTTTGAATGACTAGCAACTCAAGCATTTTACCTTCTTGAACATGTTGTCTGTGACTATCTTTTGCTTTAGCTTGTTGAATTTCGAGTTGCTCCATCAATAATCTGTTTTCTTCCAAGACCAGCTTGGCCTGAGTTTGCAGCTGCTGCCTGCAATGACAACTGGCTTATAAATAAATCATAATTCAAATTTTAACTTATGTCCAAAGAAAAAACAGAACTGACTTCCAGAAGCGTAAACTTATAAAATCATATTTTAATTTCTTTAAAAAAATTAAAAACCCTAATTGAAAGCAGAATCTGTACCGGAGGTAAGCTTATTAGAGACATGAACTCACAATCCTCAAAATGTAAAATATTTTACATAATGTTTAAAATCTTTGACCAACTAAAGCAAAAATTCCCTATAGAAAGAAGGAAAAATATGTACGTGTGAGTTAGAATCGTAGCATCACAAAATGGTTGAGGTTGGAAGGGTCATCTGGTCCAACCCCCCTGCTCAGGCAGGGGCTCCTATAGCCAGCTGCCCAGGACCATGTCCAGGTGGCTTCTGAGGATCTCTAGGGATGGAGGCTCCACAACCTCTCTGGACAGCTTGTTTCAGTGCTCACAGTGAAAAACTGTTTTCTCATATTCAGAGGGAACCTCCTGTGTTTCAGTTTGTGCCCATCACCTCTTGCCCTGTCACAGGGCACCACTGAAAAGAGCCTGGCTCTGTCTTTACACCTTCCCCTCCAGCATTTATATCCAGTGATAAGGTCCCCTCTGAGCCTTCTCTTTAGGCAAATCAGTCCCAGCTCTCTGACTTTTCTCATATGAGAGAATTAAAGCTACATAATGGTGCCACTGATCAAGACCAACTCCTTTATGTGTTTGACAGTGCATCCCCATGAGCAGTTATGTCAATACAAATAAAGGAGCAATGCGCTGCAGCACTGAGCATGAAGAAGCTGCTGAAGGTACAGAGCAAAAGCTTGGTAGCTAATTGCTGCTGACATCCCTGCCTTGCTGAACTCCAGCCTTAAAAAACAGCTCCCAGGCAGAGACTATAGACAGCCTGAAAGAGCTCAGAGAGATAGGATCTTCCATTGTTTATTTGCAGAGAGGCAAAATTAAAAGCAAAAGTGCTGAAAGTTCAAAAATTCACATCTTTAAGAAGCTGAAACACCTCTATGAAAAGTGTTTTGGAATTTGTGGACAGTATACAAGCATCCAAAGATACATGAAATATCCAGAATATTTTATTAAAACACCTGTAATACACTTTGATACCTTTATAACAACCTACTTAACCAAATCTATACAGAAACTAAACACTTCTGTAATTCTGCCTTGAGGAGGCTCTCACTGAAAGTCAGGTGATGTTACTGATTAAATCTGCAAAGAGACTTAAGATTGGAAGAGACAGCTTGCCTCATAAATTCCTCCTAGTGAGGACTCTGTATGATCCCTTCCATGTAAATGCCACCTGTGTCATGAGCACAGTAAGAATTTTGATGTTCATTATTCATGCTGTTCCAAAACCTGTTAGGAACTGGTCAGGAATCATCCTCCAATTTCCACTTTAAGTTTGTTTATGGTGAATGAATACCCAGTTGTTGTTCTAGTAACACTGCCCTCAGTCCTATAAATGCCGCTTAAGTAGTTCTTTTTATACTCCATGACTCCTGTTCCTAATGTGCTTACAGAAAGCAACATTGTCCTTTCTCAGCCTCTGTTTTGCTAAATAAGAAAGGCCAGTCTCTCTACACTCCAAATAAAAGGGCCCTTCATTTCCTTGGCTACACCACAAACCCTTTCAGCTCTGTTTCTCTGTACTTAAATATGGATGACTGGGACTCTCCACAGATTTTCATATCATTGTCTTGTTATTGCCCAGCCTCTAACAGAAGGACCTATTCTAGCATTCCTCATAACTATACTGCTTTTTATTTTTTCCTTTATAGCTGTTGCCCTAAAAAGCTCACAATCACCTTGCAATGAACCAGTATGACCAGTCTCTTCTCCCTCTCAGTTACCAACTGATGAACGCCTGACTTAGGTAAATTATTATTAAGCCACATATGTATTATATACAACTTAATTTCATTATGTTTACATTGTTTCACTTCTCAAGAACATCAAATGTTTCTAAAGCCATATTCCAATACCATTTTATATTAATGAAAAACTAATGTCATTGGCACATTCCTATTATTAGAAGAAGTGTAAAAAAGTATGTAACCTGCGAGGTCTGGGACAGAATTACATGGTCTTCAGGTGCAAAACTCCACATTCACTATTAATCTTTACTCCAAAATTGTTTCAGGCAATGCAGATCAGCATTGTTCCAACAAGACACAATCATGACCCTATTAACTCTTCAGCAAAACTTAATTTGCTTGAGGGGAACAAAATTTTTCCTTCAGATCTGTAATCTTAAAAGTTTGTATGTAACAAGCAAAATAATGCATAGTTTTAAAATTAATTGTAATATAACTTGCCATTCTGTAGGAGTAATAAAGTTATTTTTATTTAATTGTTCATGCAGGTCTTCATTCTCCTTTACCAACTCTTCAACTCGTACTTTAAAATTCTTCATCTCCTCCTAGAAGACAAAGGACTCCACATAAAATTATTTAGAGGTATTTTGTTTTAATTTTACATCAACAAAATCTTTTATAAAGATATATGCCTGGGTGACTTTTAATTCTTCTGTTAACAGCATATTATCTCACTACTAATGTAGTAGTGCATTCTTTACTTCTAAATTGCTTCATCAGTCTAGTAATATTTTATTAAACAATATATAGATATTTTAATTGTGCCACATTTTTGCAAAGCATCTTTTCAATTAAGCAAGTTGTAGATCCATAAAATATGGATTTAAAAAACTAATTTCTGGAAATTACTAGATGATACTATACATTTTCAGTATAAGTTACATTAATTTGAATATGGCAGAATAATACAGTGAATTTATTGTAATATAAAACCCTCAGTGTTTTCTGCCCATTTTATGGCTTAATTTTCTGAAGGAAATATATTATTGTGAAAAGCTATGGCAGTTCCACTCTGAAGCAAATCATCATTTTTCAAAGATTCAGTGACAAAAAATACTTCTAAAGAACAAAGAGTACCCATTCCTTAATACTCACTCCTTAAATATTTAGAAATAAATATTCTACCACAAAATCCACAGGCCTGGAAAAGCAGCTACACAGGGCACTGAATCCCCATTATAAACAACAATAGCAATGTCTTTCTCGCACTGACTATGTTTATGGTTTAGAGAGCACAGTTCTTGTACATCTCAGTGTAGTGTCAGCTTCTACATCTGAATAGGCTGACAAAAACAAGCAAGCCAAGTAGGATAAGATAGCACAATAACTATGCATGGAAAATTTTAGGCAGAAAACAGCTTTTGCAAATCCCTTTAAAAAAATTTCAGTAATTTATTTCTGCTTCAGTGTAGAAGTATATTTTCTTTAAATGGCAATTTACCTCATGTTCAAGATTTAAATCTTCCTTTTCTCTTATTCTATCTTCAAATGCCAACAGAAGAGGTGACAAATACTTCATATCCAACTTAAAAAAAAAATCCGTATAAATCAATTACAAACCATAATCTCATCAATATTTTTTACTTTTTCTCCTGCTATATACTGCTAGTTTTAAAAGCTATTATGGGTTTTCATATATGGCTTGTAGACAAAAGTGCAGGACTCATACAAGCACACAGGCCACCATATGCAAAATGATGCTGCAGAAGCACTTCATAGCACCACTTTAGGAGCAAGCTTTGGAAAGGAGAAGGCTGGATGCTAAACTTACACACTTCACTAAAAAGCAGCTATTACTTAGTAGATGTAACACAGCAGAATGTGGATGTACTACAGTGAATACAGTTAATAATAATCAAATTTAGATTCATCAGTAAGTGACAAAGGAATTTTTACACTCACAAACTACATCTTTAAATATATATGAATGTGATTCTTGGATATTATTTCTAAGACAGAGCAGGAGGACTTTCCTATTTCTGTATAGTTCTGAATAACAGTGATGAAGGAAAAATGAAGATCTAGCATTTCAAGTAGAAATTGTTTCACATATTACAAATGCATTCAGTTTCACAGACTGTTTGCCTTCTCCTTGCCAGAAGTTCATAGGCTACTATCAGACCTGTGACCATTCTTACCATCACTGCATCAATGAAATATGCTAATTTCTTTTAGTACCATCTCAAAATAATCACAATTAAGAAGATTAAGAATTAAGACCTTGAAGCAAACTATATGCTAGACAATACTAAGTGAAGATGGTTTTTATGATTCTCAGGGTAACAGTACTTCTCCTTAATTTGCAATCAGTAGTTCAAAGTTGGTGACTGTATGAAGTCTGTAGCTTACTGTAAATTCAACTGGACTGCACACATTCATTGCAAAGTCCTGCCCTACATCTTTTTTATGCAATAAACATATATGTTTATAATGTTCTAATAGCATGTGATAGTTCAGCAGGGTAATTAAACAATATCCTGAATATTTTGGCTCTAGCAAAGAAATTCTGCTACTTTACTTAGAATTTAATAGATAAGTGACAATATTATTTTACTTACCAGCCATGGTGGTGGTGGTCCTTTCATGGGTAAACTTTTCAGTTTTAGATGCTAAAGCAGATTTTAAAAAAGATACTGAAATTACTTCTTGCTTTTTGAAGCACCAACCACTGTTCACTGCATTCACAACTATTATACCAAAGAAGCTTATGTTTCTAATTACATGTGTTCCATATGTAACACACACTCAACAAGTCAACAAAACTAGAAGTTCAATATTTTACTAATATAGGAGAAAGTCTAACTTCTTAAAGTTAGACTTAACAATAAATGCTTATTTTAAATTTCAGAAAAAGCCTATGCCATTTGTAGACTTTGTGGTAAATTTAGAGAAAATAGTCTTAAAACCTCAAAGATGAATGAAAAGATAATGGGACAGTTCAGTACAAACTGCCTTTGTAACCAAGAATCTCACCTCATCTCGGGACAATGGTCTGAATTTAGTTTGATAGCGACTTAATTCTACATTTAAACGATGAACCGTCATTTTCAAAGCATCATTTTCATCTACAAGTTCTTGTGCTTGTTTTCTGAGAGAAAGTAATTCTGTAGCCTCCTCTATTAAAACAAATATCCAACAAGAAAGTTCAATCAAAACTCAAGAAATGTTTACAAATGTCCACAATAATTTGTTAATTGTAAGGGGAAAAAAAAAAATTCAGTAAGATAGAATCATAACAGAACTTCTCTCAAAATTCTGTAATGGAATAATGCCATGAAAAATTATTAACAGAAAACCATTACATTTCAAACTAAGAAATTTTTTTTCATTATAATTTAAGTATTACCTGACAAAATTTCTACAAATGTAGAAAACACTGTTTGGAAACTACTTCTGCATAGATACTTGCTCAAATCAATGAGTGGAAACCTACTACTGCAGGAATAGGTTGTAATAAATTAGAAAAGTCAAACAAGGCAACTACTGAATAGCTTGTATGTTTCTCCCACCTTCTCTATGTGACCTCTCTGCAGCTTCTTTTAGTCTTCTATTTTCCTGTTGTAGTCTCTTCAGCTTTAACTGCTGTTCTTCTATTTGCTGTTTTGTTCCCTCAAATTGCTGGACCATAGCCTGGTATGCCTTGTTCAGAGTCCAGTTTTCTTGTTTTAGTTCTCTGAACTTTTCATTAGTCATATTTTCCCATGCTTGCCTTGTCCGAATAGACACATCTGTAACACCACAGTACAATGTATTTAAATGGTATTCAGACTTGAATATGAGTTTCAGCAAATCACAATCCATTTTTTCTAATATTAGCATTGTGTATAAGTGATGCTTTGTAAGATATAAAACAGCTCATGGTTCCCAGAAGATAAGGCCAGAGAGAATGAAAAAAGCGTATTTGGAAAGAGAGCTATATAGTGGAGTGGCTGCGAGTTCCCATCTTTTGTCTCAGACACTGAAAACATTCCTTCCTTACAGGGAAAGTAAAGTGTCAGCAGATCTCCCTACCACTGGTGATTAGAGAGGTGAGACAGAAATATCTACTGCAGGAAGCAAAGTGTATGTGCCTTGCACCGACTAGTCAGTTCTCTTGACCCCTCCTTATTTTCATCACCTATGTAATGAAAGCTTTGTCCTTCTTCCCACTGAACAGGCTTTGATGGCCTGTTACTGAATAGAAATTACTTAATCCTTACAAAAGTAAAATTTTAGATCATCTACAAAATCGTGGATATATTGTTGCATCAGTAAGATGGATCACACTTTCAAATTTTTATTTTCATCTGTATGGGCTGAACAATTTACCTATTAAAATGAAGGCTGAGATTTTACCCTTACTGTCAGACTTTTAAGAGCCAGCATAATCTAATAGCATACAGGCATGAATATAACTTAGTACAGAACAGTTCCTGAGTATAGGATACATATGAAACCCAGGAACTGGTTTTGAAATACAGAGCTATCTCTTGTTATCGATGATGCAGAACAGTTTAATGTGTTTAGCTATATTTCAGGCAGGCACTTATTGTCACTGTTAATTTCCTGTGAGAAGGCATAAGATACTGGGACAGCACAGAAGTGCACAAAACCCCATGAACTCATTATAGGCACATATGCCATCCACACAACACACAAAGTCCAGAGGTGCTGTGCCCAGAATTGTTACAAGGATGCAGTGACATATAAATAAGGCACTAGCTGAAGGTAGACCACATATCTCTATCACTGTTTGTTTACCAGTTCAGTTGCGATGGAATACTTAATGATAACATTCTCTAGTGTAGATGAAACTTAAGTGATTGGACAACTCCAATATGACTTTAACTTCATTAAATCGTTTCATGATCATTTACCTAAGACTTCAAAAGTCACTCAGACTGGAAAATAAAAACAGCTAATATAAAAAGCCTGGAACTACTGTTTTTATACATATCACAGAGCACTCAGCACTTAATCTCCTGTACAGGAGAAATACTGACACCCCCACCCCCAATTTGGCTTAGAGAATACAAGCAGGAAATTGTACTTTTATACACATATGCATATTATTAAAGTGAAGATGTATATTAAAGTCATCAAAAAATCAGAAGTACCTGGGGATGGTGGAGGCTTTTCACGTATCAGATTTTCAGCTAGTGATTTTTCTTCCTAGCAGAGAAATAAAAAAACGAGACAATTCACTTGAACAGTTATCCTTTCTGAAGTACAGTATCATCGTTGGAGGACTTGAACAGAAGTTCTAAAGCAGTTTCTTTCATATCCATAAAATTCAAGGTTGGATTCACTACTGCCAATATACGACTTGGCATTTACCTATCTTGACATCATTTTTGTCACTTATCACTACCATCAGACACTTGTGGACACTTGAAACTTAGTATTTTCTTTAGTTGTCAGAAATGTACAGTTCTCAAAACAATTTTATGGCTGACAGAAAAGTTACATAAAGCTTCTTGACCAAACAGGATAGATATAGCTCCCACTTGTTAGTTTGTATAAAATAAGACTTCAGAATAGTCAATTATGACATGAACTCTCAGTCCCTAACTGAGAATCAGCAAATAAATTAAATTGTTCTCCCTTTGCTGGTAAAAATAAAAAAAAGGTACCTATTTTTACATTTTCAGAAGGTTCTTTCATCGGAAAAGAACTACAGGCTGAATTTATACTAAACCATTTATTGTATTTACTGGAGGTGAACATGATTTATATACAAACATTGTCCATATTTTTATGAAACAGCAGTGAAGTTCTGTAAGGATCTGATGCCATGTAATTTAACATACCAAGACACTGATGACTGAGTCAAAAATAATAAACAATTTCAAAAGAAAACATATGGAGTCAAGAACTTGAACAAAAAAATTGATGTTAACAATGGAAGAACTGACCACTTTTGTAAATAATATTCTAGCAAGTTGATCTGAGAAACTGAACTTTTGGGTATTATTTTTCAAGCTTATGAAAGCAGTCAGATGGGCCCAGCTGGAAAACTAGATAAAAATGTGGTGAAGGCAGGCTCAGAATTTGAAAAATATGAGTAAGAGCTATCTCTTGCTATAGCAGAATGTCTCCCACTCTCAGTTTGTTTCTTTCACATGAAGAACAATGGAAGATATAAAAAAAACCAAAGCAAAACACAAACAAACCCAGCTCTTGTTTGGCCTATTTACCTACAGTTGTTATTTTTTCAAACGTAATTATTAGCCATTCTTGTACTCCAAAAGAAAATGATTCCCTAGTAACAACAAATTAGTTTTCTTCTAAGCAACTGAGAACTATCAGCTCTTTTTAACACCCTTTTTTCCAAAATGCATCACAAATTAACCTTCATAGAAGTCTTACCTTTAAATTCACACCAAGATGTTGGTCTTCTGCTATAGAAAAACAGATCTTTCAGTCAATTAAACCCAAAAGTATAACATAGAAAGACAAAGATTTTTCAAAACTTTCTAAGTTCTGCTTCCTCTTTCCTATAGCTACTGGAGTGCTGCCATCCTCTGTAAAAACAGCATTTTGCAGTTCTGGGACAAATTCTGATTTCCTGTTTTCCTGATTTTAAAATAATAGACAAGATAATTATGCAATAAAACTCCTATGCAGGTAGATTGGTCCTGTTCTCTTGTCATAATATGTTAACCACAATATGCTATTGTTACAAGAAAATAGCTTCATGACAGGTCCAGTTATGAAACAAATGTCTCTGATTAATAAAATTATTTATTGGAAAAAAAAATAAATTTGTAAAGTTTAGCAATTCAGAGCCTAGGGGGATAACCTGAGACTGATGATCATGTTCAGCTCTATTCTGTCAGAACCTTCCTCTGTAACCCGATGTACAGCTTTAGGCCCAGACGTGAAAAGATGGCAAGAACAATACAACTTTTATAGAAAGGATAAACAATCTTAGTACCATGCCATCTGATTATTAAAAAAAAAAAAAATTCTTACTACTGATTTTCAGACATGACACTTTTTTATCCAAAAATGTTTTATCTCTTCATCTTTTTTTTTAACATTGGTAGTTTCTACTTTTTTCCATTTTTTGAGCACAGTAACAGTCTAATAGTGCTACAGAGTGTAAACTGGATTGATTCTGGCACGTGTATCAACATAAACATAGTAGTGAATGACTACTAGACCAGACAAAGAGTTCACAAAACTTTTTTTTTTTTTACACTGGCTAATGGTGTGGGTGTTTAGGAGTTTCAGTTATACAGTGAATACAGACCAATCTTTCCTCTTTATACAGATTTTTAATGTACTAGGAATGGCTAAGTATTTAGTATCGTTTCTTTCATCGCCCTTTTAAAAAAATTATTATATCGTTATCATATAGTATTAAATTTATTTTACTAAAATATTATTTTTCCCAATGGTATTAAAAGTAATGGCATTTTGACTTAAAGTAAGTTTATTTACCTTCTGTTTGCTTGTTTGACTCATCCACCAGCACCTGCAACTCAGTTTCATGAGAAGGCACCTCTTTCTTGTCAGCATTAGTATTAAGAGATGGTGGAAATTCTTCCTATGTAAAAATAAGACAAACCTACCTAAATCATGATAACACTGTTAAAATAGCCCACGCATCTTGGTATCTGTATGAAACCTTTAGTATACTAATGACTCAGTCATATTCAGAACTGTATTCCGATAATAAATGGTAAGACATACTTTTTTTTTTTGTTTAGGGCTCTATGTAAATAAAATCTAAACCTTACAATGAACAACAGGAAGCAGGAAACTATGATAGTCTTTACTTCACAGGGGAAATATTCCCTGTCACAAGAGTCTGTGAAATTACCCAACATTTGCTTGTTTGCTGTGCCATATCTAAACTTGCTCTTAATAAAACATCAACCATGTACCTACTGTATCACAGCACTGACTGACTCACGAATAATCTCTAACATTGTCTCCACTGGTTTTCCCCTGTTGATCACATACTATCATCCCACATATTCCACTGTCTCCCTTGTTTTTTCCCCCTTCCCTCCCCTTACTGACTACTATCTCTTCACCTAGGGGTGTTTTCTGATTCCCTTCACACACATAGCATTTTATTGCCTTTTTACTACTTAGTGACTTCTTCATGTTTGTTACATTTCTGTATCATTTTGGACTGAACTTCAAATGTCCCTTAGGATTATTAAAGTTGCTCATTGCTGGTTACGACAATCCAAAACTGTAACAAAGAAAAATCCACCGGTCTTCAAGACAACAAGGAAATTTATTTTTTTGATTCTGAATTTCCCTGTCTCTGTAGAGGTCTCTGCTTATTAGCACAATACTGAATCATTAACTTATCTTTCACCATTTAAAAGTAAAGTTCCTAGTGCTTTTAACAAATAATCTACTACATAAATATCACACTCGACATAAAATATTGGACATTTTACAAGACTAAATTATGTACAATAGTTATATACAATACCAGTGTTTTCCTAACAAGAAAAGGCTTCTAGAGATATGGAATCTGTGAGGATCAACAAACAAACCTAACTTGTGTAAGAGTAAGTGATCCACAGAAAGAAGCATATGAAATAAAAATTTTAATAAATGTCTGGAGAGTAAGAAGAGCATGAAATATTTATAAGGCTTTTAATATATGCATTAATATATTAAAACACAGTGAAAGAATTAACGCATTTGAAAATCCTACCTTCTGATTTTTGCAGGGAACAGCATAAATAGCATCAGTGCGAAAGCTCTGTCCCCTTTTCTCATTACTCTGACAGCTGGACTCTGCCTCTTTATCAGCATCTGAAAGGTAGGTATCCATGTCCTCATCCTCACCATAATTGCCTGCTATTTCCAGGGACTGTACAGGAGATCTGTCACTATCGTCAAGTTTCCAGTTGGGCCTGCAAGTTGAGAGTAGTTTACAGTCTGTTTCACTGTTGCTTACCCTTCTGAAAAAGACACACAAGTCCAAACAGCTGACACAGACATTTAAGCTTCTGTTAACTGCAAACAAGGAATATAGCCTACATATATGCTTTAAAATAGACTATTAACACTGGAGCTATATTTTCTTCTCTATCTTAAAGAAAATGCCAGATTAGAGACAGAAGGTTGCCAATTCTACTGAAATAAAAGTCTGAAATAATTATTTAGCACAAAGAAAATCTCTAACGTAATTCAAATAATTCCTCAGTGGCTAACTGCTTGTATAATTGCTCATCATTTGACAGAAATAATATATGGTTTTCCTTGTGACTGCTGTACAATCCACACCTCTCTCCCTGAAGACTGTATGCATGGCATCGTGTTATGAGAAATGGAAGAAGGACTGTAGACACTTCAGACCCAGTTTACAATGTGGTGAGAAAAAAGTAAGCGGTTACAATAGCAGGAGTTTGATGTAACTCTTCAGTAAAACTGTATCATTGACAGATTCTATTTCTAATAGAAGATATCAAAACAGAAAGTATACACTACCCCATTCTGAGGTCTGTGACTGTCGCATATGGTTCCAATTGTTCCACATAGGTGGAATCACTTTCAGAAAGTGATCGCTGCCGAGGCTGAGGAATAGCAACAGTGCGCCCTGTTAGTGTTGTTGCAAGTATAGCTGCTGCTAGAGCAGATCTGGAAGAAAACAGAATAAAGACTGATATCTTTTCTGTGCTCCACATTTTGTATTTTTTTCCATTGCAAACTGTCTTCACTATTTACGCAAAGCAAAATGTTCATAGTTAACAAGCATAAACACCCCTGAAAGTGCTAAGGGACTGGTTATAAACTATTAACTCCCAAAGTAAAGCACAAAACTGTGCAAGCTCTCATAATGCAGCTACCTAAAAGTACAACACCTATTGGTTTTCCCAAATCACATGCATGAAAATCATGGAATACACTGAGTTACATTCCCAAAACTGACATTGATAATTTATGGTACTTAACATTCACTTTAGCCATAACAATACTACCTGCCATTGTGTTGAAAAAGTGTTCCACGTTCTGCTATTTTGTCTCCTACTGTCCATTATTCCCTACTCTGAACCTTTTACTGATTACATTGAAGCTGCAAGTAAATGATGGCACACTGCAAACTAGGGCAAGCATTAAGTAGATAGAAGTGCCTATTTGTGGGATGCTGCAGAGTATAGAGAAGCATAAGATGAAGCGGAAAAAACAAACAGGAACAAAGATTAAAGGAGGGAAATGGTGAGGGCTAATAGGAATGACAACTGGAGGTCAAAAAGGAAGAAGAAATGAACTAGGATCAAGTAGGAATGTTACAGACACTAGAAACACCATAGAAAACAACCAGAATTGAATATACAGAAAACATAAAAGAAACTACATGTATGTAAGAAACTACACATGAAAAGAAAAATATTTTCTCTTTATGTAACTTGCCTATATAGCTAATTCAAATCCAAACCAACATGGCTTTACATGCCAGTTTTTTAAGTCCCTGCTTTTTTTTTAATATGCAATAAAATGGCATGTGACAGTTAATTTATGCTTTTCTAATGAGTTAAAATTTCCTGACTCACGGTACTAGTACTGCTACAGTCCTACACTCAGCCAAATTAAAAATAGCCTTAACTTTAATAGTCCATTTGTCTTTAATTGACTCAGATTTATAAGTTTTATATTCATAATGGTCATTGTCCTAATTATTTAGCATGCCTAGGAATGGGAGAAAAATAGGTATCTTTAAAGTTCAAAGAAGGGCACTGCCCCAATTAAAAATATATTCTATTTATGAAAAGGTTTATGTTAATACTGCAGCAAGGACATGCAATTCTCCTAATCATGCTTTTCTAATATGCTATTGTAGTTGATGAAGAAAAAAAAAAAAACAACTCAAAACCTACCTGGGCCTTTCTGGAGAAGGGTTTGGACTACGAGGGGGAGGGGTGCGGGGAACTGCAGGTTTAGGAGCTATGGTAGCGGCAGGGACCAGGCCATGAGCTATATGTTTCTAAACAATTTAAAATAAAATTAGTTGACAATGACTTTAAGGATCACAATGAAAAAAACACTGAATTGAACATGCACAAAAACTAACAATGCAAAATAATATAAAAAGGAATTAAAATTACATGCAATTAATGTAAACAGAAGACTTGAAATGGTTTCAATTTTAACTTTTTAACATGAACAGTTGCTAATGAAGGTTAGAAATGTAATTTACATAGGACCCATGACTGTAGGTTTTCTACCCACTATGTCACAATCTGCTAAACCAGAATTTTAACTTACTCAAGTTTGCTTTTTTCCTGTATATATGCAAGAAAAAAGGAGTACTAGAAATTAACTTTTTAAACAACATTTGAACCCTGCTTCCGAGTAACAATATTAGTCCTTTTCTTGTAGAGTCTCTCAGCCAGAATTCTCTGTCATAGCAGTATGAAACGGAAGAAAAAACTATCAGTAAACAAGTCCTGCATTTAAAGGTTCAACCTGAATAATAATAATTATAGAAAAAATCCTAATGCATTTTTATCAGCAAAGCCAACAATCTTTTTAAAAGTATAACATTAAATACCAGCTCAGAAAAACTGGGATCAGAGCTCCCTACAGAGAGTACTTTGAATGGAATCACAGCATGGTTGAGTTTGGAAGTGAGCTCTGGAGATCGTCTAGCCCAAGTCCCTGCTCAAAGCAGGGTCAACCAGAGAGGGTTGCCTGGGATCCTGTCCAGGTGGCTTTTGAGTATCTCCAATGGTGGAGACTCCACAACCTCCCTGAGAAACCTGTTCCAGTGTCAGACCCCCCTCACAGTATTTTTATCATTAATTTGAGTTTTCTGTGTTTGAATTTGTGCCCATTGCCTCTTGTCCTTCCTCCTGGCATCAGAAAATACTATGTCATAATAAGGTCCATCACCTTCAGACAGATGTTACTTTTTTTATGGAGTAAAACAGGGTAAGTTTCTGCTGTTTCTACTACAGATTTTTTTTCAATTATTCTTTAATTGTCTTCTCCAACAGGATAATGAACAAGCAAGCTGGGAAATACTTCTCTCTTTACAGGAAACCACTTCAAATAACTAAACAGTGCATTACAAAGACTGTCTTTTTACTCGGTCTTATCTTGCAAACACATTGCTCCCTAATTCTAGAAGTTTGGCATGCACCATTTTGTTTACTAAAGGTTGTTGACTGTAGATGTCTTACTATGATTACCAGGGAATACAGCTGAGGTAAAAGGATGCTGTCATCCTGCAATAAGACAACAGAAGAGCAATTCTTTCTTTTCATTCTAATAATACACCACACACACCCCGCCCTTCAAGTACGTTAAAAAGCTAACACCTGCACCACTGCTGGCAATCCTACGACCCTCGGCTGCTCTGAGTTTTTGCCATGAACCGTTATCAGTGCCCTCTGCGGCCACGAACGTGTGCTTCGGGGATGCCCCCGGGCCGTGTGGGAAGGTAGCCAGCCGCGCTGCCCCTGCGGCGGCCCCAGCCCCGCCGGCACCCGGAGGCCGCCCCGAGGAAGGCGCCGGGCACAGCCCCTCGCCCCGCCGAGGCCGGCCTCTTCTGGAGAAGGCGGGCAGGCCGCGGACTGAGGGAAATGAGAGCACCGCCACCCGGCCTCCGGACACCTTCTTTTCTTGGTTTAAGATTGATTTTTCTCCCCGCTTTTCACTTCGGTCAAACTGATCCGCGATCACCGGCGGCAACCCTGGGGGCCTCCGCTCGCCCCGCCCGGCGCGGCGCGGCCCCCCGCTGCCGCCACCCCCACCCCGGACAAGGCGATACTCACGAAGGGGTCCCTCCGCCCTCTCCTAAAACTAAACGCCATCAGGTGGGGGACCGGGTGGGGGACCCGCCTCTGCGGCCGCCTCCCGACTACTTTCTCCCCGCTTCGGACGCTTCCCTGGTCGCGACACACCTGGCAACAACGGCGCAGCGGATTTGCTGCCTGTTCGCGCTCCCCCAATCAACACGCGCCTTACTCGCCCCGCCTCCGGCCTTAGCAACCTACCAGTGGCGAGGCCCGCCCCGTTCCGTCTCTCCATCCTCGCTTCTTATTTGTGGCCGCCTCTGTCAATTAGGCGCGCGCTCCGCGGCGGGCAGTTCGCCTGGCGGCTGTGAGGCGGCGGCTTCTCCTCTCCGGCTGTTCTCGGGGGGAGGCTGGAGCCTCGGAGGGCTGGGTGGCCCGGGTCGGGGCGAAGCCTCTTCTGAGCAGGTTAGTGGCTGCCGGCCGCCGCCCCTGGGCCAACCCCCGCTCCCGTCACAGCGGGCTCCCGGTGTAGGGCTTGCTCCGGGCCGGGCTGCGGGAGGTGGCTCATGGTGGAGGTGGTTGGTTGTGGTGGTACCGGCTCGTCTTTGGCTCTTCTCTTTAAATCGCGCCTTAGCCTCAAATATTCCCGTTTCCCCTTGCAGCCAGAACGCCGCATAAAGCTGTCAAACCTGAAAATAATCTCTCCTAGCAACTACCTTCTAATAATCTGTCTGGAGACTTCTGCCAGCTGAGGGCGGGAGATGTCTGTGCTGTCAGTTTTGTAACTGAAGCAGACTTTCTGCCAGGAAGGGTGGATGAAGGTATAGAAAAGGTGGTGTGCATTTTTTTACCATCTGTGTGTCTTAATTTAGGTGTTTTTCATATTGACTGGCAAAGTTGGGAGTGGAATTTGCAAGACAATAGTCTATACTCAAGTAAACAGAGTTTTGCTTACTTATTTTGATATGTAACTGTAACTGTAAGGTAGCTTTGGGGAGGAGATAGTGTCTCTTCCAGAGTATACATCTTACAAATTTTGATCATAATATTAAGTTTGGAACAGGTTTATAAAATGTGTTAATATCTTTTCCACAATTCTTTCTAGGGTGTAATTGCTACTGAAGTAAAAATTTAAAGGAGGCCTCATGACAACAAAAGCAAACTTTGCTGTGACAGCAGGATCTATAGTTGTCCCTTATGGACATGTGATTGGAAATGAGAAGTGGAGAGGGTCAGAGATTGCCCAAAGGCTACAAGGTAAGCACAAACAAATTGGAAGAGGAAAAACAGGTTGAGCAAAGTATTCCCCTCTATCACCCAGTACTGTTAAGATGGGCTGGAATATGCTTTACCCTGTGCCTGACTGGTTCCATATTTGTGGTACAGCCTCTGTTAGCAGGCTGAAAATTCCTATCTGTCTATTCTATGTGATCAGTTCTGCCATATTTGCACAGCTGCTGAGCACTATAGAAAAGAAGCAGAAGTATCTGCTTCTTGAGAACCGCAACAGTGGGGCTATCGTGAATATGCATCTCCACTGAAGACCCTTTAATTCACATGAATACTGGGTCTGTCTTATCATCTGCTGGCACAGCAAACTAAATTAATATGATCCTTTCAGAGTAGCATGTGATGGTTTTGTTCAAGTCTGGAGTTTACTGAGAAGCTATAGCATTTTCAAATCTGTAATTTGAAAGTGCTATTAATTGACATGAAAGGCACCACACAGTACTTTGGATTGCTTGTGCTAGTTTTGCTTAAAGAGAAGTAAGGCTTTTAAACAATATGAAGTGTGTTACCAAGTCACCAGGATTACTGACACATTAGGAAGGTTGCGCTGTGAAGTAATTACTAGTATTTTTTTTTTAACTATTGTATTTTTCTTTTTAACATTCTCACTTTAAGGGAAAATTAGACTCATCTTTGAAGATGGCTTGGGACTTGTGGATTTTCATCTTTCAAACAGAACTTGCATTTTTTATATATCTGAGGCAGATTTGGTTGCAGGGGATGAATTCAAACGAAGATTGGTTCGGTTTAGAAATGTAAGTACTGCATAAAGAGAAAAGGAGAAGTTTTAAATTGATATCTGTTTTTTTCCATGCTTCTGAAACATTGTGTTGTTTTTAAATTCTAGTGGACCTAAACTTTTGTGATAATTTCCACCTGAAAACTGAAAAATTTTACAGCTGTGTTAATAGTGCTGTATTAAACCTCAGTACTGTTACTGCAACTTCTGTTCTTCCTCTGATTTGCTTTCAGGCAGCTCACACTTGAGTGAAGTTTGGTCTCTGTTGCATCGTATCAGCTTGTCATTAACAAGGTCTTTTCTTTTTCCCTTTCAATACAGGTCAACAGTCTTTGGGGAATTGTAATTGTGGAGACAACTCAAATAAGTGATCAGTACTTCTTAGCTGTACAGAAGTTTGTTGTACTAGAACTCGGAATGGTATTGCTTCCTGTGGCAAATCAAGGAGAAGCTTCTCAACTTATTACTCAGCTAGTAAGTTTCTGTGTTAGTGGACAAACATTTATTAAAATGCGGGACATGAGGAGGATGACCTGTTTTTGCACAATCATCACTCATTTCAGAAAGAATACCTGGGATTTTAAAGGAACACAACATGTTTTATTGTTTGAATGTAAAGAATAAACATCCTACAACAGTGGTATGGTAGTATAATTCATCAGAAAGAGGGTTCATTTGGGAGCAGAGAACAAAAGGTGAAGAATATGATACTGGACTTTTTTTAATGCAATCTTGCACTAAGATGCCACACTAGGTAGTCCTCACTTAAGTTCTCTGTCAAAACCAACTTCAGATTTTGCTTTGTGTCAGGCTGGGGACACTGCGCTCTTATCTTGTTTCTCCTTTCCTTTATCCTTACTCTGATTGCATCAAAAAGATGACGAAATCATTGTTTTATTAAGAAACTGTTGGTTTCCTAATGAGACTTTGTGGATCTGCATCAAAACTGTTAATAAGGGCACACACTTAAGGAGAGAGTTTGTTTTTAAAACTTTCTACTGTTTGCATTGAACTCTTGAGATGAAAGTATTTTAAAAAACAAAACCTGAGCTCCAACAGAGGGCACTCAGTGTCACTTACTGTTTTGCTTTGCTTTAGGTCCGTGAACAAAGTAAGGATCACAACAGTAACCCCTTTCTTCGTAAACAGTGTTCTCAGCTGGCAGAGCCATCAGTGTTTCGAACCGTGCAACAAATTCCAGGAGTTGGGAAAACAAAAGCTCTACTTTTACTGCAACAGTTTGGAAGCATCCACGGGATTTGTAATGCATCTGTCAAAGAACTTGAGCTAGTAGTTGGACAAACGGTAGCACAACAAATTTACTGTTTTCTAGGTTCCTGATATGCATGTATAGTGCAGTTTGGGAAAACAAAGGTTTTTTGTTTCTTTCTTGTGAATTGTAAGATTTTGGTGGTGATATTCATATTATGGCAATTTCTGTAATCCTGGTAACAACTAGAGGGTATTGACTAATTGTCCAGACCTTACTCTGCTGCTTCTTTACAGCTGTTCTGCTCATATAGATTGAGTTGTGAAAATTACCTTGGAAAGAGAACTGTAAAGTGTTTTGCACTGTACAAAAAAAAAAAAAAAAAAAAAAAACCTAACCAAAAAAAAAATGAAAGCAAGCTGTCCCTTTCAGCATCCACGGAAAAAAAATGGAAAAGCAATTTGCTTGCTTACTTTTGTCTTGCAGAAATATTGTTAATATATGGGTGATGTTATCTTCTCAGTAACTAAAAGGGAGTTACAGTGCTTTGAAAAAGTTAGCATTCACTGATTTATAGTAACATCTTTGACTTATAATTCTTTGGGGTTCCGAAAGTGCTACTGGAATACATCTTTGACTTCACACTAACTTATTTCTCTGTTTCTTTTTTCAGTTCACAGGGTGTTAACAAATTTTTTGTCTTTGTGTCCAATATAAAAAATCTTTGTTAATTCATGTTGCACTTTTGAATATAGGTTTGGATAATTATAATCAATTACAATATGTTTTGACACATTATCAACTGCAACATATAACATCAGTTATTTTCTTTGCAGCATATAATATGGAGAGCTTTGATCAAAATTCCTAATTCAACCTGTTCTTCCAGTATTAATCTTTCAAGAGTTATTTGTAAAGACGAGGGTTGGTTTTCCTGACATCTTGCATTTTATTTTAAATTATACTCATCTCATTTAGTAAGGGTAGAATTGCCTTTTGCTGTAATACACCCAATAAAGGAGGTGTATGAAAAGCTTCTTTTATAGTACTTACATTTTGGATCACAGCAGGAAGGCAGTTGAGCAGGATTTTCAACTCCCTTTCATAAACTAAAGAGAAGTGAATAATAGAGCCTTGGCAGCTCTGTAACCAATCTCATCCACCAGTTAGCATGGATAGCAGATAGACCTGTTATTTATATTCATTCCTTACTTGGCATGAAAATGCAATTTGGCTATAAATATTTAATTTACCGAATAAGAAACATCAGAATTTCAAGAACTACAGGACAAGATAATACTACTTTCTTACAACTAGGGAATGCTTAGGATTATTTATAAGTCTGTTTAGATTTTACTCCCTCTCTCTGACTTTGTCACTTTGCTATGGAGACTAGATTTCACATCTGAAGGTATGTGGCTATTGATGTGGCAAGGCAAACACCTTTTTACTACTTCAAATGGCCATCTGTTCAGTGCATTAAATAAAGTTCAATTAAAGTAGTAACGATTAGGATTAATGGAGTTATAGTCTGAACTACAAATCTATTGCTGTAGCTGTTATCTACCACTGACTGTAGAATGAGTCTTTAGTTAGCTGACAAAACACAGTGAGTCTGTATTCGTATGGCACTGAAAAGCCCAAATTTTCACTTGAATTGGAGGGCAGGGCAGGGATGGTTAAATAAAAAAAAGATCCCCACCACAACCTTTCTTCAAGGACTAGTGAGTGTAAAGATGGGAATGGAAAGGCAGTTAATCATGCAGGTAAGGGGGAGGATATTTGCCACAAGAATATCGTAGTGGGTTAAGACAGATGAAGAACTGGAAGGGTGATTCATGTGACTTTACTAAAGCTTTCATTAGGTAGACAGTAATTTTAGCCATACATGCAAGGTAAATATCTTCTGCATGGAATATAGTGTGACAAGGTCTTGTTTATCAGAACCTGACTGCTGCTGTTTGCGTGTGTAAACAAAGTGCTGCTACACATGTAGAATAACTACTAGTAATCTATGACTTTTTTTTTTACCTAACCTTTATAGGGAGACTAGAACTATGTTAACATACTTTGTAACAAGGAAGTTTTAGACTATGATTTATAAGTTCCTGTATTATACAATATTAACTTTTAAGAAAGGCAGTTTCTTAGATCTTTGTAAGCAACATTATAGAAACATGTAAGAGGTATGCCAGCAGTAAATAGTGAAAACCTGTAAATTATGCTGTAGCATCCCAGCGGTAGTGGAATCAAAAAGGCAGTGGAATACTAAATGGCAGCATCTGATTTTTATTCTTAAATAAGTATCATCAACATATTTACACCTATTACATAAGAAACTAAAAATAAATGACAATTTTAAAGTTTACACCGAGACGCAAACTTTCCCCTTAAGTTTTGAGTATCAAACAGCATATATCTACTCTGTAGATGGCAATGTTAACTAACACTACAGTGTTAGCTATTTTCATTTAATTTCAGAAAATAGAAGAATCTCAAAGAAATGCTCACAGTTTTTTTTTTGTTTCCCTCAAAATATATAGCTCATACTTGCTCATTAATTGTTCCAAGGGGAGGAAGATGATTTTATATCTATTTGCATTTTTTTTTCTTGGTCTGATAGTAAATAAATATTCTGCCACTGAGACTGACAAGCACTTCTTTTCTCATTTTAAAGCTTCACCACAATTTATGTGCTCTTGATCAATATTCTGGAGTATGTCAGTTTTGAGATTTGTTCCATGGTTGACAATTTTATCAAGACTAATGAGATGCAAGTCTTAAGGTAAGTAGGTTAAATACTTTCAAGTTTGAAATAAAGCCTGGTTTTAACAACTGAATGAGCAGGCATTTAAAAGGTAACCTAGATCAGAAAAAGAGCAGCGTAAAAGCCTTGTGTAGTTCAAAAGATCTTTTGACTTCTAAGCCTTCTAATTCTCTTCCAGAATTAAATTAACTATTTGGTAGAATACACCTAGTACTCTTGGAAAAAGAATGTCTATGTGTAAAGACCACAACTACACAACACTGCCCTTGGCACAAGGTTAGTTTCTCTAAATAACATTATTCTTTTTCACTGGAGGTTTAAGATAATTCTTTAGTGTTAAGTGATTTATTATTGACTCTAAACTTTTACAGCAAAATCATCCTTTAATGTGTCCCCTAGTGTTTTCCATACAGCATGAATTTTGTAATAAATAAGTCCCATCTAGCGTAGTTATAAAAAAAAATAGTCATGATAATGTATTTTGCAATTCCAAAGGAATGCAGTCTTCATGTAAGCAATTTTATCTACAACTTGTTGCATACCTTCCAAACCACTTCATTCTAACCTTCAAATAGTCCAGTTTTACAGTTTTTGCCAGCCTCTGACCTTCATAGTGGCTCAATACACAGTAAATGAAGTCAAGGGCATTTGTCTGAATTTTTATATACATGTGTATAAAGATAAAATTGATCAATACTTTTTATATACATTTCAAGGAAAAATGTCACATTAACAGATCTATCTGTGAAAGGTTCAGTACAACGAACTTTCTGTGTTCAGAAGCGTGAAGGGAGAAAGCTTCTTCTTAATCTGAGAACTTCCAGCCACAGCTGAAGGCAGGCAGAGGGTACTTGCAGCTTTCTGTCTATTTTTAGTTCCCCAACTTAGAAAAGGCAGTTTCAGTGGGGCTTTCTTTGTCTGATCAATCTTATCCTCTTCCATTGCTAAACAGATTAAGGAGTATGTCTTCTGCATTCCCACAGAATAAGTTGCACTCTTACTATGCTGTAGGAAAAAGAGAAGCAGTATAAGAATCAGTCAGTCACCCAAAATAGGTCAAAATTTTGAAGCTAACAAAGGAGTACTGTGCAAATAGTTTTCCAAGGCAGACTACAGCAAGCTTTCTGTGCTAATGACATGCTAGGGAACACAAAGCCCTTCAGAGTGCTGTGATTCTAGTATTTTGTCTGTGTAAACTCAAGCATATACTATGCAAAGCATAAAGGGACTTGTGAATCTTTTCCATGGGTTCTGTTACAGTTAGCACTTATTACCTTATAGCAAAACTGTACAATATATACACCAACCTCTCTACAAAGCTGAAGTATGTAGCTCTTGCACAAATCTCTGAAGGAGTCTTTTTGCTGTCTTTGGACAGGTTCTGTATTGATTGCAACTATGACAAGAGCTACTGTAGGCCATTCTTTTGGGATACCTGGAAGGCACAGCCTTCTCTGTCTTATCTTAGCTCTGCCCTGAAGCAATTTAATTGTATTCTAGGCTTTGGTTTCCAGTAGCAGTTGGTAATGGCAGGTGTGCAGTTCCTTATTTTCAATATGGAAAATCAACTTCTGAAACAAAACAAGGAAACCTAACAGTAGTAAGAGCACCTTGATCACTTCTAAGGCTTTCCTAATACTTCAGTGCCTAAGCTTGCCAGGGAATGTTAGAGGCATGAAGCAGTGGATTTAGCTGAACTACAGGTTCTCTCACACTACAAATAAATTTATGTTATTTAGAGCTTAACATTTTTTAATCTTGTGATCATTTTTCCTTAGTCAAAAGCTTCTACAGCAGCTTAGTAACTAACTAGACAGTTGAAGTCCATGAAAATACATACATACATTCATCTGTGATCTAATACAGAAGTCACTGATCATTTATGTTAATAGTACATAGAAAATAAGCATGTAGTCTTGGATGTTCTATTTCATTCCATTATTGTTTCATTGTGGCTTTTCCAAAGCTGAACAGGGTAATATTTTCATGCAAGTTCAGGGAAAATAAAACGTGCCCTGGAATTTATAATGCAATAAATCAAAGGAGCTCCACTACAAAAAACCCCACCGCCTAACCATGCTTAGGCACACAGACTGTACTTTAGCTTGCTCAGTCATGATGATTTAAATAGACTGTTTAAAACTGAACACATGCCTGAATGCTTTATGCATTCACTGGTGGAGTGGGATATCTGAATACATGAAAGTAAACAATGATCAGGGACTGAAGCCACGAAACTGAGAAAACTTCCACATATCCAATTTGCAAAACATATTTGCATCATTACATACCATAGATGCTGCTGTATCCTGGCAACTGATAACCTCGATCTCAATGGGCTGCTCTCCCATGCTTTTGAATTTTTCCAGCACCTCATTTACTCCAAGCCACTTGCAATCCACACCACCAACTGAAACAATGTAGTCACCTTCTTTTAGGCCCATTGACTGTAAAAAAATTTTGCACAGGTTATTCAGAATTATAAAGAGGTGTAAAATGTTTTTGTCATCATACAGTATCTGCCCTAAAGGCATTTCCCTTTTAGATGTGATAAAAACATTGTCTAGCTAAACATGTAGAACAGAAGTATATATATAACATAGAAACATGCAACTTTTTCAAGTATACAAATTACCTATTTAAGTTACCGTTGACAAATGTAATTCTGGCATACTCAAATGTTGGCTCTTATGTCATTTTCACTTTTCTCCTTAAGTAAGTGAAATCTGGTTCTTACTACCTTATCATCCCTCATGAGATATTTTCTCCTGTCTTCACTTCTATTTCTTTAGTATTTTGTTGTTGCTGCTTTCTAGAGCATTTAACCCTTCTAACTTCCTGAAATAAAAGGGGAATAACAGTTGCTTTTATTATTTGTGACTTTTTATCTATTAAGTGTGAATGGATACTCAAAACATCTAAGGTGTACATAGCACTGAAAATGCGTTCAATATTAATGACTATACTGATGTATAGTAGAACTCAGTAAATTCTCCATGTATCAGTATGAATGAGCTAAAGTTACATTTCAAAGACTGTAATGCTAGAGTCTGGAGATAAATTGTTAATGTTGAATCAATGTACTTACTGCTGCAGAACAAACTGGATCAAGACAATAAATCTGTACTGGTGAACCTCCTTTAAGACTGAATCCTAGCTCTCCTGTTTCATGATGGATGCAAATGGAACGCGGAGCCGTCCATCTCTGCTTGGCTGAGAACACTGTCAGTGGGCCCTGGAGATAACATAGCAGCAGGCACATTACAGTTTACTGTCATTCATAAGTAAGCATTTCTAATTTTTTTATGTTATAATACTTTAAGCTCATCTTATATAGGTTTTACTCAGGTTAACTTCCAGATACTTCTATTGAAATGGAAGAGTGAGATTTATCCCAGAAGTTTAAGATGTCCCCTGAAGTGCTCAGCCCTACTTCATGACTGTTCAGGTGATGCTTCAGACAGAACAGGATGACAGCAATTGCTAAGTTATTCTGAGATCTCTGTCAAGGTGTGCATAACCTTTTGGCTGCAGCAGGCTCTAAGGTCCTCTATTACTCCATTGCGGAGGAGATACAAGTGGTTCGTGAAACATTGCATATTCTGATCCTAACTGCAACTTCCAATTCCCTTTGCCCACTGATACACACAGAGTCACCTGAAAGACTGGCTTTGTAGCACGCAACATTACACATTCTACATGCTCATCTCCAAGTACTACATGTTTCTCCCTGCC